ATCGAATGCGATTTCCCCTAATAATCGAATACTGCAATACTTATACAGCGTGATTTATATATAACCGCATTTTCACAGAAAAATAATTTACCTTCGTCTCGGTAGGATTATTAATAAATAGACTTTAGTAGAAAATTGTAGTAGCTATTTGAGTAGTATATTTCATGCACTCAGACTTTAATATCTTGCATATATTATCAGGTGATCCCATTGGATCACAAGCAATGGGGATGATGACAGGGTATGAAAATTAAAAATATAATTAGTCCGTAAGTTAGGTAATGAAAAAATATTAGACACGTATTTTTTTATTTTGTCGTATAATAAAACAATACTTAGATAAAACGAATCAAAGTTTAGGAGTGGGGGCTAAAACGTCATTTCTTAGTATAAAATGTACTGAGAAGTGACGTCACGCGACATTTCAAATCAATATATCTTCGAAACTATTCGTTTCTGTGAGAAAATAAAAAATACGTGTCTAATGTTTTTAAATAATCTATCAGACGGACATTAAAATAAAAATTAGTCGTCTACCCTATTTACTTATTATTGTTCTTATTCTTAACTGCTCACGTCCTCATACTTATTTGCCTATAGGTATTACTGTTGGTTTCAATTCGCTATCAACTTTACTATTACACTCTTTTTAAGTGATTTCACTTTTATCCTAACTGAAAAAGGTACTAAATATAAATACTCATACGACCAAGACAAAATTATTTAGCTCCGAGAAAGCAATCACATAAAATTCACGCTGTATATACAAGTATATGATTGCGCATCATATGACATTAATTTTAAAATCGTGGAATTTAAAATCGCACTTTAACATAAATCGTGATGTTCTTATTCTGAGTGCTAAATATTCAGTGTTAAAGTCATGTGATATTTATGAACTAGAAATAAGATATCAAATGAATATTTCTGCCTTTAAAATATTGTCCATAAATTACAATATACTTATTTGAGTGTAAGTTTCAAGTATCATATTTGATGTTTTTTTAAAAGAGTCTTTTCCTTTTTTGTCTTATAACGTTTTAATTTATTTTTGACTCACTTACTACTAACTCTACCGGGAATTTATGAAAGTATTCTAGAATAATCTAAGTCATACCCCACTTCTATACAATCTAAACCTGCAGTCAAAAACTAAATCTATCAAGAAATGGATACGTCACTGTGTAACATATTAAACATCGTCTTCTTTTACTTCAATAAATCGAAATATAGACTTTTATTTAGACTACAGATTTTTTTCTATGGGATAAGCCGGTAAACGAGCAGACGGATGCGGACGGACGGAGCGGACAGACCTGATGGTAAGCAATCGGCGTCACCCATGGACACCTGAAACACCAGAGGCGTTACAAGTACGTTACCGGCCTTTTCGGAATTGGGAAATTGAGGATTGTGGGAGATTCGAGGACCGTGGAGATTGGGGTGGGGGGGTTGGGTAAATTGGGCCTCCGGTAACCTCACTCACACGATAAAACACAACGCAATCGTTGTTTCACGTCGGTTTTCTGTAAAGCCGTGGTATCGCTCTGGTCGAGCCGGCCCATTCGTGTCGAAACATGGCTCTCCCACACTACAAATTATCTACTACAAAAAATCAAGTCAATTTACTATTGACATCGGAGCCAATATCTTAATTAATTGCCCAAAAGTCAAAGAGGTTTGAACAATATGGGTTTGACACACCCCTAAATATAATTCCTTATACGAAATGTATGCAACGATAATTTATGTACTGCCAATAAGTAATGTTCAGTGGTTAATAACTGGGATGTCCGTGGTGTATAAAGACCATACCAGGTTTTTATATAAATTATTATTTATACAGTTTTTGGAACAGAGAGCCAACCTTATCGCGTTGAGCGCCTTTGAGTCGATGCGTTAGGGTTCTTTGAGAAATTATATTATGGAATTCGGACACTTAAGTATCGGGATTATTTCAAAAGTTTTTTAATGTTGACGAATGTTAACAAAAGACTTACAACTTTAAAATTTGCTAAACTAATTTAATAAGCTAATTTGCTAAAGACTAAAATTTTAAAATATTTGTATTTTGATTCTTTGCTGCCCAAATACATACTAAAATAACGTTATGTTATGAGTGTAATAGGATTGAGCCTATTGCCATATACTGGACACAATTCCAGACTCCATGCTACTTCTAAGATTTCTTTTAAAACCCCGGTACTACTTTGCCCGACCCGGGAATCGAACCCGAGGCCCTTTGCCCGGCAGTCGCACTTGCGACTCGACCAACGGGGTATGAAAATTTACGAATTAATGAAATAACTTCCATATTATTCTTTTCCTGACTGAAAATTAAGATTTGCAATAATAATTGACAATACAGTCCCATTACCAAGACAATAAAACCTAAAATAAATTACAAAACACAATTACTCTACAGAATCTATACTTGTCGAGAAATAACTCAATATTGATATGTTTATAATTATTATAAGACATATCAAAAGCAGTTTAAATGCTTTGAACTAATAATCAAAGGCTTAGGCGGCTACTTTATTAATACAAGCTTAGACTTTCCAATAAGATTGGCCTTTAAACCGACCGCGGCGACTGGTCTCATAAGACCTTATGACCCTGTAATTCCTGTAGAAAATATCTAGAATTCTAGATAATTAAAATTACATCTTCGTGGACAGATATTATAAAGTTTGCATTAAATCGCTGAGACAGACAACAACTGACCGAACTAGCCGTTAGGGAAGGTCTATTTTTGGCAGTCTTTAGCAGTTTAGTCTTGTAGCTGTTGTTATTATGACGAACATTAGGATGAAAGTGTGGGAGAGCCATGCTTTGGCACGAATGGGCCGGCTCGACCGGAGTGCTACCACGGCCTCACAGAAAACCGACGTGAAGCAACGCTTGCGTTGTGTTTCGTCGTGTGAGTGAGGTTACCGGAGGCCCAATAACCCTTCCCTTCCCCAATCTCCCCAATTCCTGAATTCCCAACGATCCTCAAACTCCTAATCCCCAAAAGGCCGGTAACGCACTTGTAATGCCTTTGGTGTTCCAGGTGTACATGGGCGACGCCGATTTCTTACCATCAGGTGGCGGATCCACCCGATGGTAAGAAATCGGCGTCTGCTCGTTAACCGGCTCATGCCATAAAAAAAAAGAAACATGTCATTAATTATTTGAAAGATAATTTAATTTCCTTTGCAATATATAGAAGGCGTTCTACTGTTTCGTTAGTCGAACGACTAATAAGTTCGAGGTGTAGCAGGGCGACAGTCCCCGCGTCGCGGGTCGCGGAATGCTGCTCATGAATATGAGTCTCTAACATGGCTTGAAACTAGTCGAGTTCCTCATCAAACAGTTTACGTGAGTAAGCCGAAAACAATAATTAACTCTTTGAGTACCGTCATTATAGACACAATTAAAGAACAATAGGTTGCGGTCACCGGTGACCGCGCGGTGTTTGACAGTTTCATAAAGCTTGATTACATAATGTGTTGATTAAAGTAAACATAATACTTTCCTAAAAGCAAATATACAACATACAGCAGTATTCCAGACTCTGCACCATTTTAGGGTTATCCTGTGTAACGAGAGACCCTCAACGTTATAGGCTAAAACTGGATGTGACATCTAATGTTATGACCTTTGCCTCTGCTCATATATACCTTTAAGGAATAGGAAATCGGTGTGGGCTGTATTTACTTGAACAAGTACTAAAAAGGTCATCGATTACTACTAATTAAAATTATATTAATTCTTAGTTATAGAATTTTAAGTAGGCTATAACTAAGACCTCTTAGTCTTAAATAAATAATTAACATAACATCAATGCTTTTATTTCCGAAGGGCTAGCAAAGGTGCAAATTACGGCACTAAATGCCACTGTACAATGTAACACCCACTTTTCACTATTTATGTTATGAGTCTCGTGCAATAGGGGGTGAGTCGATTGCCATATACCGGGCACAATATCAGACTTCGTGCTACTACTGAGAATGGTTTAAAAGACCCAGTAGTACTTTGCCCGACCCGGGAATCGACCCTGAAACCCGTTGCCCGGCAGTCGCACTTGCGACCACTCGGCCAGTCAGGCGTTCAGGCAGTCAGATTATTACTAATTAAAATTGTGTTTATGCGATATTATATACCTAATATAAAATAATTGAAAGTAGGTAAGCAATAAGACCAGAATATTAATTAGTAATTGGAATGCACTATACATATTTCCATAAGATCTACTAATTGCAATTAATTTAATTAACCTCTTCTGAAGTCTAAACAATATTGTACGAAAGAGTCCATATGAAATGCTACTCTACCCTTATGAAAATAAGGCATTAAGTCGCTAATTTGAAAACCAAAAAGAAATCTCTTAAACAGCATAAAATTCTTATAAAACCAAAATTACTCACCAAACTTGTTTGTTTCAAATTCAATTACGAGGTTGGACAAAAACATGCGAATTACCGAAAAAGTTTAATACAAAAATACTTAACTAAGTATTATAATAAAAATTACATACTTATCAATTTTACGACGGAACCCATTGCAGTAATAATTGATCGTTGGGTGAGTTTTTTGACCGATTCCTTGAATTATTCAACTTTGGCTCAACGGAATGTGGAGCGTTTCCATCAATCAATTTTACTTGAACGCCCGACGTGGTTAAAGGCGTTACCCTTCGCGAAGATACTCGCTGCAACTTGGGGAAATTATGGGAACTTTTGAAGTGGTGACTTTGCCCACTCTGGTAGTATAAAATGGTGAGACTGTATATGTACCTATGTAGTCTCACTATCACTACATAATATAAAACAAAGTCGCTATCCGCCGTCTGTCTGTCCCTATGTATGCTTAGATCTTTAAAAGTACGCACCGGATTTTGATGCGGGTTTTTTAATACGTAGAGTGATTCTTAAGGAAGGTTTAATGTTTAATACATGTATATTGCTCCCGTGCGAATCCCGGGCGGATCGCTAGTTAAGTATATTTCACGAAAGTTTTTTTTTATGACATAAACCGGTAAACGAGCAGACGGATCACCTGATGGTAAGCAATCGGCGTCGCCCATGGACACCTGGAACACCAGAGAGTCACAAGTGCGTTGCCGGCCTTTTGGCGATGAGGAGTTTGAGAATCGGTGGGGATTCAGGGATTGGGGAGATTGGAGGAAGGGTTATTGGGCCTCCTGTAACCTCACTCACACGATGAAACTCAACGCAAGCGTTGCTTCACATCGGTTTTCTTTGAGGCCGTGGTATCACTCCGGTCGAGCCGGCCCATTCGTGCCGAAGCATGGCTCTTCCACACTTAATAGTAGTTAAAAGTTATGATATAAACACCTTATATATATTTTTTTTTTAAACCATAGTACTAACCTAACCTAACTTTGACAGGATAACAGAAAACCTTTATGTGTATGGCTACTGTATAAATTCTATGTTTAAAACCACAATCTTTGCAAACATGTACCGTACCTATAATATTACAGTTTGCATGCGACGAAGCATCCGAGTGCGTGAACGGTCTGACCGCAGCACCCCGTTAGGGTTTACCGCAACACGTGCTTATGCCATTTTAATAATAAATAACAATTACGACTTATTTCCCTATAGGAACAAATACATGTGTACAATGACATCGTTTCCACAAATTAGCTTCAAAGATACGATTTATAAAAGTTACTGCGGTATAAAGTATTATTAAATGTCTTGGGAATTTATCACGGAATTTCACCATAAATATCTCGATTTTTAATTTAACGGTTTTAAACAGTCAACTTGGTTAAACTTGCTGGTAGGTAACTTGCAACACCTGGGTATTTTTTTTAAATCTTAAGCGTTTATTTAACTCAGTTGTATTTTATCGCGTGAGTGAGGTTACCGAAGGCCCAATCACCTCCCCCCCCCTTTCCCAATCCCTGAACCCCAACAATCCTCAAATCCCTAATCCCACAAAGCCCAGTGTCCATGGGCGACGCTGATTGCTTACCATCAGGTGATCCGTCTGCACGTTTACCGTCTTATCCCATAAAAAAATTAACACAACACTAATCTAACACGATGTTAAGTAACCTAATAACTTATTATCATCAATATTTTTATTGCATAAGCTACGTCGTTGTTGGCCGAGTGGCCGTTAATGCTACTGCCGGACAAAGGGTCTCGGCTTTTATTCCCGAATTGGGAAAAGTTTTTTTATATCAAATCTCAGTTGTAGCACGGAATCTGAAACTGTGCCGTATATGGCTCACCCCCTAGTACATGGGACTCATAACATAAATTGTGAAAAGTCGGTGTTACATTGTACTTACAGAGACATTCACTGCCGTAATGTGCACCTCTGCATATCACCTCCGGAGTAAAAGGCGTGATCAGTGTTGCCAACCCCAAAAAAACAAAAAAACAACAACTCACTTAAAAAAAAACAGTAGAAAGCAGTAGGTAAAGAAAAAAGCGCTCATTTCAGATTTTTGGTAATATAATTAAACTGTCAAACACCAAGCGGTCACCGGTGACCGCGACCTATTGTTCTTTAATTGTGTCTATAAAACCGGTACTCGACGAGTTAAGTAATGAATACCTAATAGTTTAAGTGACTAGAACTCACATTCAAATGAATAGCAATCGGTTATTTCGGATTTTATCCATTAATAGTTGTAGTCGATGTTCTGATACGTAGGTAATTTTGTTTTCGTAATATTTATAGCAGAAAATAACCTTTCGTCGACGGCGCTGCTATGTGGTCCTACTGTGGTAGGCACAAAAGCTTTTTTACTATGTAATTCACACAACGCAAGGAACGTTTGAGAGTCTCCTCCATTCTTTAATTCTTGTCCATGTTTCATAAATCGATAGTATCGGGAATTTTGTTTTGGTAGAAAGAAAACAGTAGAAAATAAGAATGAAACAGAAAACATGGACATCAAAGCAAAAACAGCAAATCTACTGTTAAAACAGTAGGGTTGGTAACAGTGGGCGTGATGATATTTTATTATATTTCTATTACATTGCTTGAGAGCAAAATTGTATTGAGAGGTAAATTTTTGAAATACACATTTTGTACTTCATTAAGCAGAATTGTTAACTTTGGTTTGAGGACAATGACGTAGTTAATTTTTATTAAATTTTATCAAAGAATGTACAAAAAAGGAGTCTTCAAAGTTTGTATAGATAAGCCATCTATCTATTGTTATTTTCACACCCATTCTACACTTCGCTGTCAACACAAAACATACTACGAAGTGTTTATTCGCATTCCCCATTAAAGACTGCGACAACTTAACACTTACTAAAGAAAGCCATAACATTCTAGCTTTATACCTGTGACAAGCTAACACATAACAGAAACGCTGTTTGAATTTGCCTTGTTCATAAATTGTGGGCATAAACTAACTAGCCCACAATATAATCAACTAAAGAGACTTCTACTGACGTTTGGTTAATGAGTTGTTAGGAATGTTTTTAATTATACGATACTAGCCGTTCCCCGCGACTTTGTCCGCGTGTAATAATGACTTCCGGCAAATTTTGGATTTTTTAATTAGTCTTCTCTAAGGTTCGAGTCACCTCGGAATTTTCACATGCTTCTCTTTTTTATGTTTTATTAAATGTAGCCTATGTTCAGCATCGATAATGTAGGATTCTAACGGTAAAATATTTTTTTAAATCCGCCCATTGGTTTCAGAGGAGATGCCATTCAAACAAACAAACAAAAAATCAAATCTTTCCTCTTTATACTATTAGTATAGATTAGCTTCTGCCAGTGGCTTTGCTTACATTCCTAGGATACAAAAAGGTAGCCTATGTGCTTTTACAGAACATAATCTACCCCTATTCTAACGTGGAGACGTAACAAACAAACAAACTTTAACATTTATAATAAGACAGGCAGACAATACCTACTAAAGGATTTTTTTTAAGGGGGGAAAATCATCGAATGACTACTCCCACCTGGGTGAGGCGGGAGGGAGTGTCAGACTCTTACTGACTAAAAACCACACCGACTAATAACACACTAAAGGATAGTATTGTCTGCTGAAGGTACTGTCGTCAAAAAGTATATCTAATGTTACATTGCATAATTATGTAGACATATAGGCGAAACTATAGTGATAGCGTCGAGTTTGTTAAAATTGTTAAGGTTCTAACGTTTTCATACTAGTAGACCATAGACCGATACCTACAAATAAGGCAAAGATGACACCAAACTTGGACCCAATGAAGACTACAACTGGCCAAAAAAGATCTAAGATATGACCAAACTTGGACCCAACAAAACTGGACCAATAAATGGATCCAATATTGGTACTAATATTGCAATATAATACGCACGGATCGCTACGATGGGCCTCCCGCAGTCGGATACGGTGCGTGATGTCGTATCACACAAGATTGCTAACTACGCCCTGCGGTGGTACTGTAAAGTTGAAGGCACAATGGCTACCTACTTACATCTGAACACTGAACATGATTTATGTAAAACTGTGTGTTAGATTTTATAGGGTGCTATTTCTATTGTAGAAACTAAAGTGAATTACAGTTGCAATTTCTTACTTTCATGAGAGTCTGTAGGCAATAGTGAAAGTTAATAATTATGTGTTCGGCTTACTCAAGTAACTGTTTGACGAGGAACTCGACTAGTTTCAAGCCATTCTAAAGGCTCATATTCAGTAAGAGAGCGACAGGAAAGCTGCTCATGAGCCTCTAACATGGTTTGAAACTAGTCGAGTTCCTTGACAAACAGTTATATGATTAAGCACAAACATGATAATTAATTTAATATGTCAATTTAATGTATTTTTAGCTTGATCCGTTTCTTTTTTGAGTTACATTGGAATTTTCCACCCTTACTGATGTCAGACCGATCTGGTATTTGGTATACATACTTAACCTTGATGATGATACAGTATAATGTAATTTTTTCTACAAGTACCTCCATTAGGGATATCAAAAAAAAAGTCTTTTATCTTTATAGAAAAGTCCTAAATACAAATTATTTTAGTCCCTATTACCAGATAGATAATCACAAAATCCTAAGAATTTACATCATTCCCGTACCACACGTGGACACACGACTTTATAGAGTTATCTTAACTCGTAAATAAACCAATCTGCACTCGCCAGAGGCTCCATATTTAATTGAGTTATACCATTACCAATCATTTTGCAATTGAAAACAACATTTAGACGAGAATCAAATTGTATATACATATATAAGTGATGGGAATGACATAGATATGAGTTGACACGTTTTAAATTAATAAATGGAGAATGAGAAAATGTGGTAAATTGGATTAGGATTCTTGTTTCATTCACCAACAGCTTATAAGTGGCCAATGCTGAGCAAAGCCTCTTCTCACACGGAGAAGGTTTTGTTTGAGCATTCATCGCCACGCTTGGTCATTGCGGGATGGCGATTTCAAACTTATAATTAGAAATTTTAAGTCCAGGTTTCCTCACGATGCATTAAGACGAAGTTTAGAAGCACAAATCTCATTGACTATTCGATTAAATCACATATTACTTATCTCTGTCTCCACAGGTTGTATTAATATTCATACCATCTCAAAGAAATCCTCTTTAGTTATAATGTATGTAAAAGGTTGATATTGAGAGCTCGTTTTCAATTAGTTAATTAAGTTTACATTTTACTCAGAATCTGTCGGATCCACCAACAACATCCAACATCCAACATCCTGCATCGCATAGGTTTATCAATGCATTTTACTACACGATATACGATTAGATGCATTCAACGACCGTCAGTTAAATCGATTGGTAATGAAACCTGATACTTGAAGTGTCGTAATGAATCTATGAATTACTTTGTTAATTTATTTTATTCATGCTTCATCTATATCTATTATCTATTTTAAGTGTGGGAGACCCATGCTTCGGCACGAATGGGCCGTCTCCACTGGAGTGATACCACGGCCTCACAGAAAACCGACGTGAAACAGCGCCTGCGTTATGTTTCGTCGTGTGAGTAAGGTTACCAGAGGCCTTATTACCCTCTTCCCCAATAGCTCCAATCCCCGAATCAACAACAATCGTCAAATTCTAATCCCCAAAAGGCCGGTAACCTGGTGTTTCGAGTGTCCATGGGCGGCACCGATTGCTGACCATCAGGTGATACATCTGCTCGTTTGCCGGCTTATGTCATAAAATAGTAGCAATGTGATATTTGTTTTTTAATCTAAACCAAAAAGGTTCATGAAATAGCGAATACATTTCATACAGTATTTTTACTTAAATAAAAGTAGACTTTACCCAATATCTTCTGTAGTTTCGTGTATTAACGTGATGTATTATTTGAATTCATTAGTTTAAATGACATGCAAATAATAGTAAACCATTTACATAAACAAACAAGAAGCTTTCGCTAGCAAATAGTGTTGTTACAAGTAATGTTCGTGAGAAAGGATGGAGAGTTCCTATTCTACACTTACTGGGAACCAAACGGCACACTTCAACAGCAGTATAATTATGGTTGTAATTACGGGGAGGCTGTATCCGTTGTATGTGACGCTTGACGCTTGTGATGTGAGCATCACTATCTAATATATGATATTCCTTGAATTTGACGAGAAGAATTCATGATAACAATTTGTTTATAAGCTACGTTTATAAAAAACCGCCATTTATCCCCTCTTTTTTTGAAGTCGGTTAATTAATATACAGGGTGTAAACGGAACACATGATCAGTACGCAATACGCCTTTAGGCTACTACTATCCACCTGCTTCATTAAAGAAATACAACCGTAACATTAAGTACTCAACTCCAAACAACTTCATACACATAATAACCACTTACCAGACTCCGTATTTCCGACGACTAGTGTTCTTCGTTCGCCAAACGATCATTATTCACAACGCACTGACATATATGCACAACACAATTGTCACCTTCTGTCCCTCGAGTCGAAGTATACAACGTCACTGCACATAATCTATCAATCTATGTTACACTACACACGATCCGAACTGCGATTGTACCTGGAACAAGGATTGGTATAATTAGTATTTACATATAAGAGCAATAAGTATGAAACTAGATGAAGTCCAAAAGAAAGAATAAGAAGAATAGGTGGTAGTTTTGAATATGGTATTCACAAGTAACCTTACTTAAAGAGCGTAAATTCAGTTAACACAGAATAGTAAGTAGAGGTAAATTGTGGGAGAGCCATGCTTCGACATGAACAGGCCGGTTCGACTGGAGCGGTACTACAGCCTCAAAGAAAACCGACGTGAAACAACGCTTGCGTTGTTTCGTCGTGTGTAGATTACCGGAGACGTGGACACATCCTTATATCTATAATTATCTATAATATCTATACTAGTTAGAATAAAAATGTTTGATAAATAAACTAACAATCTAATCGTAAACGTTAATACTATTATTAAAGCTATGCTCATAAATACATACTTGTATACAATTGGTATAGTTATATTTGTTGTTTCAATAAATTTCAATAAAAAATATTTAAGTTTCTCAAGACAATATCTGCAGCGCCTCAAAAGCTACTACCGTTATAGTATATTTTATTTACCAACTGCAACTACAAACAGTTGTACTGAAACCCTGCCCAATGGTAGTACCTCATATTCAACCGTTCCACCTTCCATTGTACACACGGCCACACATCAATCTATACAGAACCAGTTTATCCTGGTGTCGCGTCGCATCATCTTTCCGCACATTTAACGTTCAGTTTATACTGGTTATGTGTAGCTCGATGTGTAGCCGTATGTACAAAAATGTTTGAATGGCCTATTGTCAGCCACTTACAACATATTAACATGTTTGGTGCTAATGTTCGTACATTCCCCGGTAATGAGCACGTCATCTTTACAGCATTCCTTTTAAAGACCCATTCGAATATTCTGGAAGCTTGCGATGGGAAAATTGGCCCAAGTAACCTACACAAGTATGTCTTGGTTTTTTTAAACCATCGCCGAAATATGTGAGAAAAACGATGTGAACTTTTGTTCGGTTTTCAAATATGGTCGGAGTAATCTCTGGATTTTTAAAGGTTTTAAGAAGAATTTTAATCCTGGCAAATATGTAAAAATATAGGCACATACGTAATTTACTTACATCAGTAAAATATATAGAGGTATATATGAAAATTTGACTAACAATGTCTACTTATTAATGTGTTTGTATTGTTACTTTTGGGAGACATACTAAATAAATGATTATGTTTTTGGCTTACTCGCGTAATAATTTGACGAGGAACTCGACTAGTTTCAAGCCATGGTAGAGGCTCATATCCATGAGCAGCATTTTGCGACCCGCAACGCGGCGACTGTCACGCTACTACTCTGTAGATGAATCTGAATATGAGCCTCTAGCATGGCTTGAAACTAGTCGAGTTCCTCGTCAAATTATTACGTGAGTAAGCCGAAAACATAATCATTTATTTATTAATGTGTTGTGGCTATTCTTTTGATTTTGATATTTGGCATGTGGCATAAATTTCTAACATGATAATATATTATGTATGAATAATCTAAAAGCTAATAAATGCCACTGTAAACAAATCGATACTTTTATCTCGAGTTCTATAATCGATAAACTTTCAACAAAACGAGACACTCTCACGAATTCGGTCAATCGATAATCAATATCAATATATCTTTGTTTACCTTATATCGATTTCTTGAGAATTAGAAAGTAGATTCGATAACTATTGTATTACACAGCTCTAGACGGTACCGCTATCAAAATGTTGATGATTCCTATCTATAAGACTTTTTTGGCAATGTAGGGTGAATTTGTCATTTATTTTTGGGTAAATAAAGGCGGTTTTTGTTTGAAAATAGATGGCATCTGATCATGTGTAAGCGTGGTGTGCGTAATTTTAATGTAAAATAAACTCTGTTGCTAAAGTTATGTAAAGTCGAAGTTCCCTTGCACATAACAATACGTAACGAGGTAGTTCGAATGTTTATGTAGACATTAAAATATGTATAAAGTTTCGGTAGTTAAGTCACTATAAGGTATTGTTTTTATTTATTTCAGTCGATATTATGTAGGAATAAGAAGACCAAAGTAACTGGCGAAGAAAATATTGACTACTACATAGTCCTTATATCCAAAATCCTTGACTTTAACAAGTACATACTACACTACTTACGAAAGACCTTTTGTAAAACGACCAATAGATCGCAAATCTTGCCATTAATTATATTTTCAACCACCAGTTGGCGCCACCGTAGTGTATAGCTCACTATCCATCAGTTTACAACGTCTTGCTTGTTGATCTTCGTCGTCCATCTTTATGTAATGGCTAGTCATTTGTTACTGCTAATTACTGAAGCTGTACCTACTGTTTAATAAATCATGGTACGGTTAGAATTATCTTGCGGTGGACTTGTGATTTGTGACGTAAATTCTAGGAGTCTTGGTTTCGTTGGTGTTTCTAGATTTTGGTAGGAAGTACATACCACTTTAATAAGTAATGCCGGAATACTGAAACATTACTCAATTTTAAGTCGTGCTCAAATATCGTGCCATCTCTGTCATTTTACAAAGAATTTGTAGAGATAGAACTATACCTAAGCACGACTTAAAATTGAGTTGCGTTTCAGTATTCCGACATACAAGACTGTTTAATTGTTTATAGTTAGTAGAAAATCTCATAAATATAACATTTTAACAATCATTTTATCTATACATTATCGACTACAAATTTATATTAAAATTGTATTAATTTTATCCTATCATCGAACGACACTCACGTAGAGTCGCAGATAAAACACTAGATATAAATACATAATAATATAATCGATTATCCAAAATCGATTTTGACAACAAACTCTTCAATAACTCGAATCGATAACAGACATAAGACATATCGATATCGAATACTCGAAAAATGGTGTTGTCATCAGTCGGCCGTTGTGTGAAAGAACGCGACCGAGCCGTGTGGAGTTGTGGACGATAACGGGATACACGTGACGACACGGCATGCTGTGACTTACATACGGGATAACACGACTTTTATACCGAGGTGATCAGCAGATTGTCGTATGATGACGGAAAAATACATTCACTACCACTACTATTCTCCCCGCGGGTATTTTTTTTTATGGCATTAGCCGGTATATGAGCAGACCGATCACCTGATGATAAGCAATCGGCGTTGCCTATGGACACCTGGAACACCAGAGGCGTTACAAGTGCATTACCGGCATTTTGGGGATTAGGAGTTTGAGGATCGTTGGGGATTCAGGAATTGGGGACTCAGGAATTGGGGATATTGGGGAAGGGGAGGGTAATTGAGCCTCCGGTAACCACACGATGAAATACAACGCAAGCGTTGCTTCACGTCGGTTTTCTGTGAGGCCGTGGTATCACTCCGGTCAAGCCGGCCCATTCGTGCCGAAGCATGGCTCTCTCACATTTCAATATAAAAAATAACTACAAGTTTAAAAGGGGCTGGGCAGCAGCGCTCTCTGATGAACCTGAACCGTTGATAAACTTGAAAGCTACGCGTTGATAGTGTGGTAAATCCTCTTGTATCTATAGAGATGGACAAAAAGATACCGTTGGGTAAAAACTTTTTAGTATCAACAAAACTTTAAAATTAATAGATTAAACCAATATAAAAATGTATAATTGCAAATATTTGTAGTAAGACTGGTATTTTATCAAATCCAAAACTGCTAACACAATCACGTAACAGTCTCTAATAAGGTTTATTTTAAATAAAACTAAAATGCTGTAAAATATGATATGCAAACGGCGAATGTATTACCGTGACACCCTCAAATGCATTACTAAAGTAAGTCATAATCCATTCAAATGTCTGCCTCGCTGAAGGTGATAGGTACATGAAAATTTTCCGCCGACCGACTCCATTAAAGAAAACGAGCGTGTACTACAAAATATTTTTATTTATATTAACTGGCATAACGACCACTGAGACTGAGCATACAGTAATCAACGGTATACTACGCCCCAGTCCCCAATATCTTACCGTGAAATATATTCATACGTTTCACACAGATTCTTACAAACTAACACACAAAAACGACCCCTAAACACACGGCTATAAAGACCAAAATACTCTACGCTTTAAATTTTTATCATGTTACTAGAATTTCTCCGTACAACCACTCTTAATAGACTTCTTGCTAATTTATGATTTGCGCTTGATTTCCCGTGTAATTTATTTATTTCATAAATCTCGTAAAATGTGGATATTTTATTGGATTATTACGTTTTCAATGGCTGTTAATAAAGATAAGCTAAGTTTTCTATACATATTAATTGAATAATATCTTTTATGAGCGTTGACTCTGAATTGAATCTCTGTTAATCTTAATGCTATAATATCTTTCAGTTACTAGAAACTAATGTTTTAAATTATCCGGGTGTTTTATTCCTTTCAGTATATCATCATTTCTTAATAGCTTCGACATTAAATTAAGTATTCATAAAACCCATTATTAATACATTTCCACGAAAATGTAGCATCATAATAGCTTTAAGTGTTGCTCCGAGAGATATGTCAATTCAAAGCGTAGCTTTAGATTTTCATCGTTTCAAAATATTTACAAGCATATCCTTTTTAGGTATATACTATAAATCTTCAATAACTATAGAATCAATATAAAATATTTATTACCTTCCATTCCAAAACCTCGATGACAATAAATAAATAAACCACAGCAATCTCTTGTTCGATTTTGTAGGAAACTCCCACATAGTATAAACAACAACACATTAAACTATACACAACCAGTTTAACATAGTCTAGCTTTGTGTGATCTTTCCGCGCATTCAAAGATCAGTTTATACTGGTTATTCATAGCGTCAAACACACAGCTTTCTAGTGTGTAGCTCCATCATTAAATGCCGGCTAGTCATTGTCAGAAATGATGTGGTTACGAAGGACAAGAAACGCTGTCGTAAAATGATATTGAAGTCTACTTCAGAACATAAGACTCGACTGATTGTTATGCGCGGTTTTACTGTACGTTTTCTACCTCTAGATACAGCTCTTGTGGATTTACTTATAGTAAAGGTAATGTTACAACACATGTTAATTTAAAGCAGGAATGCATTCTTCCATGGGCCTACCGTATTTTTGCACACCAAATGGCGCTAGTATGCACCTCTCGATCTTTATCCAATAGGGAATTAGCTAGTGTCACACCATTGGACGTTCAATATTTGACAGCTGCCGTGACTGGCCAAATAATGCCTTCTAACATTTGCGCATTTAGTATTTGTCACTTAGCAGCATTTGTGTCGGAATGTTGGCCAAATTTAGCATGCTCATTTCAAGCATGCTTGCGAATCGACGAGTGTTCGATTTTTGAAATTTTTCAAGTATGCCCAATTTTTTAAGATTGCTTTTTAGTGCATGTGTAACAATACCTTACAACTTATGTGTATAATTAAATTCCAATATATGTTTAGTAAAGTTGAAGTAGTTTTTATTAATCTAGTGTACTGATGGACGTCATCATTGTTCCATTAAGTAGATGAAAGAAGATATGATAACCTAGGAATCATAAAAACTATGAAGCATAAAGGTAATCAGCAATCATCCTCACCTCAGCTAATGGTAGATATAAACAGGTAGATAATGCTATGACATTAAATGTGGCCAACAAAGTATGCATTAAGTTTTAAATTATATAGCTAAAAGATGACAAGAAAAACGTAAATCACATACTAAACGAGCCACCGATAAATCTAAAAATATGTCTAATAAATATTTTAAAGAGAAATATGATCAAATTCAAACCAAACCAAACACGAGACAGTGTGAAAACTAGATTCTGACACGAACTGCATAAACTAAATGACAGTCGGAAACGATACATCACTTTGGACAAAACAAAGTAACATAAAGAAATAAACATTAAGAATAATAAAACATACATTTTATAATGTCATACGAAGTAATATGAATTTCTAACATCATGTTCATGCATCGATTGACGGATGGTGTTTGAGATGAGATAGACTGTGATCAATGCATGTTGGTTGAAATCTAAAGCAAATTGTAGGTAAAGTAAAAGATTAAGAAAATTATAAAGAGAAGAAAGGGAGAAGAGAAAGAAGAAGAATAGGAGAAAAGGGACTCACAGTTAATTAATTTTAACTGAGTGGAAAAATTTTAACTGAGGATAAATTTTAACTGAGGAATAACTTTGAATATTTGACAATTCTTCCATAGTAAAAGTTGTCAAATGTCAATTTTATTATACAGTTCAGAATTAACTAGTGATTACAATATCGGCCCAAAATAGGAACAAATTAACTAAAAAATTATGAATTACTCTCGTTAATATACTGAGAAAAGCTCTGCTATGTTTTTATAATAACTATCGTGAGACATACTAAATTAACTAAAATCGCGAATTACTCACGTGAATATACTGAGAAGCACGCTGCTCATGAGGAAGAACCCCTCTGTGGTTCGAAACTAGTAGAGGCTTTCTCAGTATATTCACGTGAGTAACCCGCGATTTTAGTTAATTTAAAAGCTCTGCTAGTAGTTGAAGTATGTTTCACGACAGTTATTATAAAAACAAATAGGAAGCAATTTAACATTAGATCAGGAATTAAAATAGGTACCAAAAATAAACAAAATTATTGAAGAATGAACATGATCAGAAAACATTGCGAGAAAACATAGACTTATAATTTCTGATTATAAGTTTGAAATCGCCAACCCTCATTGAGCAAGCGTGGTGATTAATACTCAAACCTTCTCCGTGTGAGAACAGACCTAGTTTGGACAGCAGTGGCCACTTATAGGCTGTTGATGTGATTAATATCTCTGAAGAATATTGCAAGGGCATCAATGGTCTTTACAAAATTTTTGTTTGTCCCAAAATTCGACACAACACTTAATCTCAGTCACTTCTCAACCACAAGACTACCAAATCAGTCAACAGATAATACCAATAATCTCTTTAACCGCCTCTTTCTAAATTACAAAAACCACAAAGATCAATCTGAGTTACCCATCAACTATGCAATTACACCTAATTCGTAAATCACGAATCGCTTTCAAAGATACGAATTATAATAATAAAATTCTATTAAGAACGATATCAATAACCATTTTGTATCACGATCTTCGTGTATCAGGCTTTGTGCGATATCCATTACCTGTTTAACACTGTTGCAATTGCTATTGTGCTTAATAAAAACAGTAAGGTACAGGTGATTTGTGGAAAAAATAGTTATTGTATCGTATCTGGAGCGATAAGACTCTTGTTCTATTTCGTTTGATTGCGTTTCTGTGAACAATTTAGACAAAATAAATGTTGTTTGGAAAAGTTCTTGACTGAGTAGTTATTTTGGGCCTCCGATTACCTCACTCACACGACGAAACACAACGCAAGCGTTGCTTCACGTCGGTTTTCTGTGAGGCCGTGGTATCACTCCGGTCGAGCCGGCCCATTCGTGCTGAAGCATGGCTCTCTCACATTAAAAAATCCTACATTTTATCTATTCAATCTGTTCTATTTTCTTAGGTGCCTTCATCTAATATAATTTGTCAACTGCAGTATATGTTTTCAAAATCAATACAGCTAAAAGAATTGTACTATAGATAAATTCACACACAGAATTGACCACTCCCTAATCTGCCATGGTTAGTTACCAAATTTTTAAAATTTTTTTTATCAAATTTTTCTACATGTTATGGCCACATTATTTTATAATTTATTTAATATTATAAATTCTTTATAATATTTCCATAATAATAAATTATAAAGTAAAAAAAGGAAATATTACATGGGACTCATAACATAAATAGTGAAAAGTGGGTGTTACATTGTACAGTGGCATAATGTACACCTCTGCCTACCCCTTCGGGGATAAAAGGCGTGATGTTATGTAATTATAAAGAAGTGTACATAAAGTAGTATAGTTTTCATCACCAAGTATTATAAATGATTCACAGCATGATATACGCAAAGATGAAATTATAAAATACTAGCGACCCGCCCCGGCTTCGCACGGGTGCAATATGCATGTATTATACATATAAACCTTCCTTAAGAATCACTCTATCTACCTCTATTAAAAAGGACCTCATCAAAATCCGTTGCGTAGTTTTAAAGATCTAAGCATACATAGGGAGAGACGGCGGATAGCGACTTTGTTTTATACTATGTACTTATGTAGTGATTTCAGTGCATAGTAACTAACACAATAACGCGAGTAATCAAATATCCAAAATCCGTACCAAGTGTCAATGCCACATACTCAAAGTTATATTCACCTCGTAACCAAAAACGTATGAAGATGCAAAAAAGATACCTAGCCTAGTTACTTTTTGCCTTTTGCAGCGTCTCACTCACTTAATCTTTGAAGTACTAGCTGATTAACCAGTGTAACTTGATCTCTCATTTCATAGAGTTACAGAAACATGATACATTCTTCTAAGCTGGTACTTGGTACTGAAGTAAGTATTTGAAGTGGAAAATATTAGACACATAAAACGAACTGACCCATTTTACGTTCATAATGTTATTAAGTCCAATAGAAGGCTGACATTGATAATAGAGTAGATGACTTATTTTTATTTTTATTTCCGTCTGGTAGATTATTTAAAAATATTAGACACGATTTCTTTAATTTTGTTACGGAAACGAATAGACGTTTCGACGATATATTTATTTGAAATGTCGCGTGACGTCACTTCTATGTACATTTTATACGTAGAAATTACGTTTTAACCCCCACTCCTAGACTTTGATTCGTTTTATCTAAGTATCATTTTATTAAACAACAATATAAAAATATACGTGTCTAATATTTTTTCATGAAACTGACAGGCTAATTACATTTTTAATTTTCATACCCTGTCATCATCTCTATTTCTGGCTACACTTTTAAACTCCACACTAAAAAGTGATCGGCAACGAAAGTAACCTTAATATTTTCAAAACGAAAAGTTAATACTTCTTTGTTTTACTATTTCTTACTAAACCGAAAACTATCGAATCACATAGATATTATAAAATCTCAATGATCGTATCCTAGTCAAAGGCAGATAAACCATCCTCTTTCATTCAAATAGCTCATTGATTAAGATTACCACACACGATAATTACGTAGTGTGGATATTTACGAATCAATCGAGGCCAAGCTTACATGTTCAACAATAGTTTGTAGCCCGCCTCAAGGCAGATGAACAGATTAGATACCTATATCCTAAGGGAACGGAAATTGTGATATTTATTGTACATAATATTGTGAAAGATACGTTAATTATGACTTATGAAGTTAGTGAATAGATTGGAATCTTCTTTATGTGTATTTTTAAAGACCACACTGCCGGCTGTGTTAGTGATTAGATCGATTTGTTTAGTCAAAGGCTCCGCTATGTAATGAGGTGAACAGAATAAGAGCCTTGTTGGTAATGAAAATGCTGAAGACGAGATTTCAGATTAGATTTTTGGGTAGAAAATGTTAATCATTATAAAAGAGTCGTAGCATATTTTGTAGGTACCAAATGAAAATTGTGTTAATAAGGCACGAGGAAATAAGTGACGGAAATGAGGGGTTTATAAAGATAAGTATTTTTTTTAACTCGTCGAGTACCGGTTTTATAGACACAATTAAAGAACAATAGGTCGCGGTCACCGGTGACCGCTTGGTGTTTGACAGTTTATAGGGGGAATATCATCGAATGACTTCTCCCACCTAGGTAAGCGGGAGGGAGTGTCAGACTCTAACTGACTTTTAGTCAGTTATTGGTGGTTTTTAAACCACCCCGTTCCTTCTCCTGCACGTCGATCCGGAGCCTCGGTAACCCGTTAGGTTCTCCGCGATTCCGAATAAGGATAAGGCTAAGATCAGTAAAATAACAAATGTGATAAATCCAAACGTGTGTGTATCTGACCATATTTAAATTGGATTTGACTTATTTAATAAGTTCCACATGGAAAAGTACTCCAAAACCTCTTTCGTATTTATGTGTATTAGTATGTGTAAAGTATAAATCATATTCCCAACACCCACACACTCAAAACCCTAATTCACATTACACATTATAGTAAAATTTCGTTCATAAAATTTAAGAAAAAAATATTTAATCATCATATTTCATTGTTTTTTTCTCCCATCACACACCTGGGCGTAGTCGTAAACTTCACATCATAAACCTTGTTACCTTCGACGTAAAGATTAATTTCAAAAAACAAGATCAAGTATACAATTTCGTTCGTAAAGCTGCGAGGTACACTCATCAAATCATAACCGGTTTTAATGACCCCTGTAACTAGTCAAATTAAATTACTTCTTGTATTAGTTAAAGAGATCAAGAGGTCTGGATATAGTGGTCGTCGGTGAACACCTTGGGCTATTAATGGTAGTCACTGGCATGACATTGAACCTGTCTATTTAGGATGTAATGATTTGTAATAAGATAGGTGAACTGTTATTATCATTGGCGTTAAAAGGAATTGTAATAAAGATGAAAATAACAGAAGATTAGCTGCACTATGAAAGCTACGCTACGTGTATAGGCAGCCTATAAGTAAAAATTCCAATATTTCAATTAATTAAATCAATATTTAAACACATTTTTAGGACTTCCTTAAACGCTACCATTCTAAAAAAATGACGAATTAAAATAATGAGTGCAAAGTCAATTGATCATATCAAATCTTTCTAGTTCTAACCTCGTATCGATTCTCGGGTCGGGCAAAGTATTATAGGTTATTAAAAAAAACTCAGTGGTAGCACAGAGTCTGGAATTGTGCCCGGTATATGGCTCACCCCTTATAACATGGGACTCATAACATAAATAGTGAAAAGTGGGTATTACATTGTACAGTAGCATTAAGTGTCATAATGTGCCACTGCCTACCCCTTCAGGGATAAAAGGCGTTATGTTATGTTCTAACCTCGTATTATCGACAACTACCTATCGCTATCGAGTTGTTCCCTAACTATAATATAATACTCCTGCACTACTCCAGTGAAATAGTTATAATATAACAAACATAATGTTATGGTATATGAACAGTGTTATAACAAGCTCTAATCAATTGATAAACCGTAAAGCGTATAGAAATGACAGCCGAAGAATTAGTCGCAGTTATTATATTGGCTACCAGATAATTACTATGACAGTGTGACAAACAAAATTGATAATTGGGTAGTTTCCAGGTTATCAAAATTAAAAATCTAGTTAGTCCGTCAGTTAGATAATGAAAAAGTATTAGACAGGTATTTTTATATTTTCTCGTATTAAGTTGCAATACTTAGATAAAATGGCGCTAAGTTTAGGAGTGGGAGGTTGTTATGTCATAACGTGCTACAAAATGTGACACGCTGTGAGGTCACACGATATTCCAAATTAATATATCGTCGAAAATATTTAATTTTGTGAGAAAAAAAATACGTGTCTAAAGTTTTAAATTAATGTACCAGACGGACATTAAAATAAAAATTAGGCATCTACCCTATTGTCATCGAAAATGCCACTGATGACAAGTTCAGTATCTTTTGTTTTATTTTCGGTCCTCGGTTGTAAAATTCATAAACTATAAACTTCATACATGATGATGATAATAATATGTATTGTTTTTAAATGGGTATACGTCTATGTGTATCTATTCTAACCAGCAGCTCTAGCCAAATGCCACTTAGCGCTTGTCTACATGTATATTAGAAAACCAAATTACATGGAATTGGCGTAAATTTTTACAATTGTCAGTGTCATCCCCATACATTTAGTTTTCTATTCTCTTTGTAGACAAGCGCTAAAGGGGCGTTTGGGTTTTTTTTTGTTCTAAGGGCGGAAAATCATCGAATGACTGCCCCCGCCTGGGTGAGGCGGGAAGGAGTGGCGGTTGGGTTAAGGCACTGAATTTGTACTATTGCAAAATTCTACAAGTGAAGACTAAAAAAAACAAATGTTAGTTAACTCGCCAACAGTGTTCAGTTTCTATACGCCGATTTATCTGTTAGTTATACCTTTCTTTCAATATTTCCTACAGCCATCTATATGTATATGCACCCAATAAATAAAACCTAAAACACAGAACGTTGACATATTTTTAATTAAGAACAATGATTAGTTTTCCCACACAACAGTCTTACACGTACCTAAACACAAAATACTACATTACCCACTAATGATTAATAACACAAGTCATCTACAAGACAAAGTTTCAATTAAAATACTAATGATTTTCAATTTATTATTCCTTGTTTTGTTAATTTTGATTAATTTCTTAATTTCAGATGTGCTTGAGGCAAACGAATTAAGGAGCGGTCACATTAACAGCGGGAGCGGAAGCGACAATGTGACATTTGATTTAATTTATGACAGTTTTTTTTTTTTTTTTTAAGGGGGGAAAATCATCGAATGACTGCTCCCGCCTGGGTGAGGCGGAAGGGAGTGTCAGACTCTTACTGACTAAAAACCACCCCGTTCCTTCTCCTGCACGTCGAGCCGGAGCCCCGGTTACCCGTTAGGTTCTCCGCGACTCCGAATCGGCATCGGCCCTATTGGGCCCCATCTGTGGTGGTCTGATGGCTCTTTGAGGCGCGCGCGGAACGCGACGCGCCGTACGCTCGGGTCTGTTTCTGGTCGGACGGGGAGCCACCCATGCTCGCCGTCCGCAGGCCCGCGCTTACGGTGGCCGGAGATCGTCCCGCGATCCCCGACGCCCGGTGTGTCCTTCGCGATGGCTGGGTCGCGAGGAGGCAGCGCTTCGCTGCCTCACGCGTCCCGCCTCCTCCTTAGCTAGCATGACTGCTTCGCAAAAGGAGGAGACGGCATCCCAGTCCCCCTCGCTCCGCTAATTTATGACAGTAAGACTGTCATAAATTAATATTCATACAATGACAATTTGATTTATTGTTCAAGTTATATGCTAGTCTGTGTTTATGTTTACCTTTTACAATAAGAATATACCTAACTGCATTCTTGAATAGCTTGAACACTAAAAAAACCGAAAATTTTCGGCTATCGAAAATTGGCGGAACAATTTTTATAAGTGATATTTATATAATTTTTTTAGGGTTATTAATTTTAATTATTGGTGTTTTAGTAGGGGTTGCTTATTTAACTTTATTGGAACGTAAAGTTTTAGGTTATATTCAAATTCGGAAAGGTCCTAATAAAGTTGGTTTTATAGGAATTTTACAACCTTTTTCTGATGCTATTAAATTATTTACTAAGGAGCAAACTTATCCTAAGTCTTTATAAAAGCCTATATGTTTACAAAAATGACATTACTGCCAAGGCAATGGAAAGATTCAATCATGAATTTATAAGAACCTTCTTGTACACAAATCCGCTACCTACATTGCCCGCTCGCAACATAACATGGCCTTAAACATTAAAACAATATGGGCATCAACAACAAAGAAACACATCTAGAAAAATAACAAAGCGACTGGGCGCACAGTAATGAAGATATAAGAAAAATAAAAATAATTAATGATTCTCTTTGAACTTAATGAAGTATACACATGCTAGGAACATTTAAACGAAAGAGGAATGATGGATTTCGAGTAGAGAAAAACGTGACTTCCAAATTGTTAGGGAATTGACCTATTTTTATTTGGAAACCATTATTCTTATAGAGACTATCGCAATCATGAGTAAAAATCAACTGATCTATGTGATTTTTTGGATTAATTTAATATTTTCCAAACAAAGACTTGTTGAATATTTCAGTAGTTATAGATGTTTGTGAATCTCATTCACATGGTATATGCAAGTAGCCTTTCGCCATACATAGTAAACCATAGGTATTTTAAATCCTAGTCATAGGTATCCTAGTCATAGGTAAACACAAATTATTTCCTAAATAACATAAGGCCGGTAAGGCACTTGTAACGCCTTTGGTGTTCCAGATGTCCATGGGCGACGCCGATTGCTTACCATCAGGTGATCCGTCCGTCCGTTTACCGGCTTGTGCCATAAAAAAACAAAAAAACATTACGCCTTTACTCCCGGAGGGGTCAGTATAGGTGCACATTACGGCACTTAATGACACTGCACAATGTAACACCCATGTTTCACTATTTATGTTATGAGTCCCATGTAATAGGAGGTGAGCCTATTGCCATATACCGAGCACAATTCTAGACTCTGTCCTACTACTGAGATTTTTTATAAACCTAGTAATACTTTGCCCGACCCGGAAATTGAACCCGAGACCTAACTAGGCAAAGACTAACGAAGCAGTCCCTAAATAAAACCTTATTTTTAATCTCTGATTTTGACCCCTCTAACCCATTTATTATTCAGATAAATTACTTCTATCAGCATCACGTACGAAGTCCACTACCAAGGTCCTGAAATCAATTAGGTACTTAGGCACTTACTCAGAAATCTCTTTACAACTCCCAAGAAATTCTCACACTCAAAACTCCCATAGTAACCTCAAGGGACTTTCAAGTGTTGGAAGTCACATATAGATCTCTCTACTAGATTCGAAGTCCCACAAACGAAGTCACGATCGACCACAAAAGACAGTAGCAAGCGGTTTATTGCCCAACAAATCGATCATTCGAGAACATTCGAATTTAAAGTATTGCTTTACAGTTAGTCAGCACAATACAAATACATTATACATGTGCTTAAAATATATGTTTCGCATGAATTGTCAATTTCCAGAAGTGTACTGAATATTTAAGGTGACATCATACATTTTGTTCTTTTTAAGACCATCCATCCATGAGTAAATCTAAGTAATAGGTACTTAAATGCGAAAGTGAATATTAACTATTAAACATATTGAAAGAAAAGCAAACATAACATAACATCACGACTTTTATCCCCGAAGGGGTAGGTAGAGGTGCACATTATGCCACTGTACAATATAACACCCACTTTTCACTATTTATCTTACGAGTCCCATGTAATAGTAATAGTAATGTCTCGGGTTCGATTCCCGGATCGGGTAAAGTATTACTGGGGTTTTTAAAAATTCTCAGTAGTAGCACGGAGTCTGGAACTGTGCCCAGTATATAGCAATAGGCTCACTCCCTTTTACATAGGACTCATAACATAAATAGTGAAAAGTGGGTGTTACATTGTACAGTGGTATAATGTGACCCTCTGCCTACCCCTTCGGGGATAAAAGGCGTGATGTTATGTTATGTAAGAAAATAAAACTGTTGTAGTCATAATACATGAAGCTTATAAAATACAGCCAGAATAACCCTAACGATACAAACAAAAGAAAATTGAGAGAAAAGTGAAAAGAAACCACTTTACCTCTAGAACAAGAAAATATTTCGTACGAACACAAATTTTTTTAGAACAAAAAACTTAAAGTTAGAAGTAGCTGCGACCGCGCAGTAATCATAAAGACTCAGTTTGATAATGAGAGCAATGTTGCATTAATGGTCGTAGAGAATCGGAACAATTGTTTAGATCACAGAGCCGTTAGTTTTTTAATTTCAAATGTCTTGGTCTGTTGGACTTGTTGGCTTTAGAACGATTAGAGCTGACGCGAGAATTTATTTAAGATTTGTAGCTAAACTATAGTACTCATTAGTAACGCAAAGATTTACTAAGTTTAAGTCGTAAAGGGTAACCCTTAAGACTCAAAATTATTTGTAAGTTACTTTTAAAAGTCAAACAATTAATAATATAGGTTCTGTTATTTTAATACTAGCTTTTACCCGCGGCTTCGCTCGCGTCACAAAAGGATAAAAAGTAGCCTATGTGACATATGCCAATACATACAGCGCCATCTATACCAATACTCTTGTTTTCCTTCGGGAATATCAAATTTTTCCGGGATAAAATGTACCCTATTATTTAATCCAGACTTCTAACTTTACATCTGCAAAAATTCAAAGCAATCGGTTTAGTAGTTACGGCGTAAAATCGGAACAAACAAACAAACTCACTTTCCGATTTATAATATAAGTAAGGAAGTAAGGATTTGGGACAACCAAAAATCTACAAAAATGTTAATGAAACGTTGGATATCGTATATTCTGTACCACTAATAAATCAAGATACTGTCCATGTAACACGCGTATGAATAATACAATTAAAAATAAATCAGTTAACAGTAATGAGTAAAAGACGAGTATGATAAGGAGTTGTAAAATATCAATTTATAAACTAACTGACACTACTTTTTATACGTCTGTCTGACATATTCCGATTGGCATCACACGCAAAATGATTAATAAAATAGTAATTTCTTCTTCAACATACAGAATGGGAAATGCAATTTATCGTCATTAGTCGCAAAAGAGACCTTATTAACACGTTCACACGGAAAAACCATTGAAAATGTTCGCGAAGATTTTTCTATTTCTTGCACTACTCATTACCATTGTGACTTGCGACGTTTATATATTACTCAAAGTTACATTTTTTATTGGATTACTACAGAAAGGAAGTGATTTATAGGAATATTCTTTTAAAACCATGTTTAAAAAATACCTTTTTCATGTTAAGACCTAGTAAGTATCACCCTATACTAAGTTCAAACTACAAAATTGCAAAATAGACTCTGTCAAAGGTAGACTTCTAATTCAATTATCATTAAAGAATTCCATAATCAAGTCTTTAACGGACAAATATTATACAAATCCTTCTTCGCGTTCAAAATTACCATACATACGCTCCATACACGATCAGATTGCAGATAAACAACAAGAAGGGTTTATGCTAATACGTAGATATGTAGATAAGATATGATGATAATGTGTAGATTTGTAGTAAATTCTCTTATCAGATCTTATGACGTCATAAAGCAGGTGACATATTTGACCTGTGTCGCGTCTATGCGTTCTCAAGTTACAGAATCTTACGGTACATTTGTCGTACACGTTGCGGCTGTGCTTATCATACGTCGCTGCGACGTACGACACGTTTTAAGCGACAAATTCTACGGATTTTAACGATTTGCTGAACATTGAGGTGTTTTAGAGCGATTTGTCTTGTTAGTGTTGGTAAAGTAGTAATTTATAATGGTAGTTTTATGGTCGTGCCGTCGATTATGACTATAATAAAATGTTTTGGTGTAATAATGTGTTCATTTTAATCAACTTCTCAGCTATGTGACAAATATTATATCCTTACTAATATTATAAATCGGAAAGTGAGTTTGTTTGCTTGTTTGTTTGTTTGTTCCACTTTCACGCCGTACTTAACTACCAAACCGATTACTTTGAATTTTTGCAGACGTAAAGTTAGAAGTCTGAATTAAATAATAGGGTACTTTTTATCCCGGAAAAGTTTGATATTCTCGAATAAAAAGGAAATTATTGGTATAGATGGCGCTGTGTGTATTGGTATATGTCACATAGGCTACTTTTTATCTTTTTATGACGCGAGCGAAGCCGCGGGTAAAAGTTAGTAGTAAATAAATGATTAAATATTATATTTTCACTATCAGTTTGGGTGTTTATTTTGCAAAAACTAATGTTCTAACTAGGTACAAGAATTAGCCAGAACACTTGATTCCTTTTAAATGCTCTCACACCAGATCAATAACAAATTCAAGAACATAATTACGAACACATTAAAATCAATAACTGCAATCGATTTTCGACCAAGTGACTATCTAATTATAAATCCAAATTACAAAAGTGAAAATACCGTCGAACAATAATTTATATGACTTTACCATGCATGAGTTAGCACCCAAACGGGTGAAACTATGCTAATGCAATCACCTGCGCACTTGTACTTACATTGTAGAGCGAGATCGCATAAAATGATCAAGATCCATTATCTAGTTTTAATTATGATTGAGGAGAATGCTTTACAATACCTTATCTGTTTATTTAATAATTGTTTAACTTTATTATACGTCTTGGTTGGATAGCTGGAGACATGTTTTTGATACACCCTGTATAAAGTTGGTTTGTTACACTAGTGGTTAGCACTGGTTTGGTTAGTTAGGTTATTTATTTATTTATTTATTCGAAGGTGTACTGCCACATCACCAATATATAACAATTTTAAATAGGTACACAAAAGTCACAAAATGAAGGTCTGATGAATGCGACAATAATGGCGTATATAGCATTGGACAATAATTTCGTTAATTAGTTTAAAAAAAAACATTTTTGAACACTGAGTTCCTCTTAATATTTGTAACTTTAGAATACTGAGAATTTCTTAATTTTCACCAATGGGATCGTAACAAAAAACATAAGGGACTATATTAGGTATAAAATTTCCCACCGCCGCGCGCCAGTTAACATTTGATCAAATCAAATAGTTTTATTTACTGAACAAAGGTGTAGTATATGATGATTTTGATGACACATTTGCCAATAAAACTAAAGATAACTCAATTAAGTGATGAAACACTATCTTAGTCTACTGACAAATCACTCCCCAACAACACTTAACAGCAAATCAAACTGACCCGCAAAAACAATCCTCCAATCAAAAAGATCCGCTCCTAATCCATCCAACTTTCCCACTATCAGAAGCACGAGTGTAACAGATACATAACGTATACAACACATGTCATGTTTTAGTATAATGCCAACTAATTATGCCTGTGTCCCGCTAGTTTCGGACCGACTCGTAGCGAACGGTAGCGGGGTCTCGAGTAATGGCATGGCGTTGTGAAATGTTTACCTGCGTACGTGCTTTACTTCGTTCTGGTGTGCTGTTCTGTTAGTGGGTATTTTGTTGAAGGTATTTAGATCAAGTTTGCATTTTACAGGTCGAATCGTTTTTTTTGAGTGGATGAAATTTTTGCACTTTTATTGGACTTGAAGACTTTAAGCGTTGTCTAGTCAATACAGATCTAAATTGACCAAACCTCAACAGAGTTTAAATTTTGGTGCAGGAATATAACTACTGCATAAAATAGTACCTTATGTGATTATGTCAGTATAGAAAAATGAGTGCAGAAACCATTATTAAAAGTAAACAACATTAAAGTCACCAAAACGAACATAACTTTTTCAAAACCACATGTCAAGTAAAGACAAAATCGAGGTCGGAATCAAAGCAATGAAAACAAATCTTACCCTACACACACGTGCATAAAAGATACGATTTAAAACTCAACACTAAACATAACAATTCCAAAAACAAATAAATTAATCACCAAACACAATAATAATCACAAAACAGAAAGTGTCAAAGAAATATTTATAAATTTAAAAGAGTTGCAGTTGTAACTGTTTCGTACGAGGATACAGCCGGCCACCGAAGCGTAAGCCCCATTTAGAGGAGAGAGCGGCGATGAACAGTATAACATTAATAAATTAATCATGATTTTATGGAATTCCGCTAGCTGGCGGCCGCACCGCAATATTTAGGGGCCCGTCCGACATGGTTCATTCTTGTTTTTATACTAACTATCGTGAGACATATTAAATTAACTAAAAATCGCGGGTTACTCACGTGAATATACTGAGAAAAGCTCTACTAGTTTCGAACCACAGAACCGAATCTTTTTTTCGAACCCCTCTGTGGTTCGAAAGTAGTAGAGCTTTTTTCTCAGTATATTTACGTGAGTAACCAGCGATTTTTAGTTAATGGTTTATTATTGTTATTTATCTTTGTACATACATTTGGGAGCAAAGGAACGAAGCCACTAGCACTTTTTTCTTTTTCTTTTCCTGACAAGTATCTTCTGATACATGTAAATTATTAATTGGTAGCGTATGTCGTATAAAAGGTTATTTAGTTATTAACTAAAAATCGCGGGTTACTTACGTGAACTCACCGCGACCGCGCACGCTGCTCATGAGAATCATAATAAGAATAAGAACGTTTATTTGCACGAAGTATGGTAATAATAAGAGGAAGAACCCCTCTGTGGTTCGAAACTAGTAGAGCTTTTCTCAGTATATTCACATGAGTAACCCGCGATTTTTAGTTAATTTAGTATGTCTCACGATAGTTATTATTTAGTTACCTTTAAAATGAGAGTGTTTTTTGTAAAAAGCATACATTTTTAAAGTTATTAAAGGTTCAATAGTATAATGAAACGCTAGTGGGTCCGTTTTTTGCTCCTAAGTGTATTTTTATTTATTGAGAAAATAGTAGCGCCTATGTCGTAACATATAATATTATAGATTCATAATGTATTAATATTAATTAACAATTACTATTAATGTGAGATACTCAACGAGGAATATTATATATTGCTTTTAGTTGTTTGGTTTACGTGTTAATTCACATAGAGGTGAATAAAGCATACAACTATTGATTAAAATATTAATAGACACAAATATTTTGGCTCTCATAAGTGAGATATCAAGAAGGTTTTTCTTAAGTTAAGACTTAAGAAAAACCTTCTTGATATTTAAAAAAAAAACACATTCTCAGTGAAATGAAATTGTACAAACTACTTAGGTCGCATGCAAAACTACAATACAATATATCAGAAACAATTATTTATACGCTCATTTACATTTAAAATGAATGTAGAATACAAATCTTACAATTAGACTTGATAAATCTGAGAGCTAATAAGTATTCAGTATTAACAAAGTATAATCGATTCTAAATTGTAATACCGCGCTATATACAAGTGTCTACAACTCATTTTATAGTCAACATGTACGGAGCCCGGCCATTATTCTCGCGCTGTCTTTACATCTGATTGAGAGTACGGAGACGAGTAAGCATATGTGTTAATAGCGTTAACAATACTTTGTAGATCGTGTACGTTTTACTACACTAATATTATAAAGAAGAAAGATTTGACTTTTTGTTTGTTTGAATTGAATAGGCACCGAAACAATTGAATCGATTTAAAAAAAAATATCATTGGAATCCTACATTATCAGTGATGAACTAGCTATTTCCGCGCGGTTTCACTCGCTCTGTTCGGCGCCTATTAATCGTAGCGTGACATTTTATAGCTTATAGCCTTCCTTGATAAATGGGCTATCCAACTCAGAAAGATTTTTTTAAATCGGACCAGTAGTTTCGGAGATTAGCGCGTTCAAACAAACAAACAAAAAAACACTCTTCAGCTTTATAATATAAACGGAACTGTGTAAAAATTTCAATAATGTATCCCAATGTGTGAAGATTGTACTCGATTTTTCATAATCGTGAATTAAGATTGTTATAGAGAACGAAAGTAGGTCCATTACCGAACAATGACCACGATTCCAGACTCCAACCTCCTATTATAAACTAAGTCAGTACACATTTATGTTATTATAACTCCAACCGTGAGACTACATCTTCTAATCATAAATTAACCAGTAAAAAAAGCTACGGTGCTTTTACAGTAGTATAAATTACACGTAAGTATGAAATTTGAATAATCTCCAAGTTATTTTATAGAAAGAAATATTTCTCTTTACTTAATATTTGTTAGAAAGTCTTCGGTTTATGTTTTGATTAATAAATTCGATTTCACAAAATGATAATCTGTTTTCGTTTGAGAATGGAATGTGTGTGAAATTGTTTAGTATCCCTTTAATAATGTTATAGAAGTTGTTCAAAGATTTAATCGGAATTTTGTTAATTAAAGGTGCAAGGGATTATGATGATTATTAGCTAAATAATTTGCTTACATCCTACTGCCTCGTTGGCCGAGTGGTCGCAAGTAGCACGGAGTCTGGAATTGTGCCCGGTATATGGCAATAGGCTCACCCCCTATTACATGGGACTCGTAACATAAATAGTGAAAAGTAGGTATTGCATTGTACAGTGTTATAATGTGCACCTCTGCCTACCGTTTCGGGGATAAAAGGCGTGATGTTATGTTATGTTATAAATATCAATTGTAAGAGCACATTAAGATATACTTTTCTTATTTTTGCCCATAACAAAAGTCACTTGGTCTCACCACCATTCTTTATTTTCCATCATCATGAAACTACAGTAAGATAAATCTAATTACTTGAAAGAATTATACAGTAAAAAAATACATCATTCTTAACATGACACCGTTGAATATAAGAACACATAGAAAGCAGTCAAATTGAAGCAACTCTAATTCGGTTCCACCGTGCCCTTCCAGCCTGATTATTAAAACTGCTCAGTTTAGCATAAAAACAAGCAAATTAACGTTTTAAAACAAAGATGGCGGTATACAGATAAGCGATGTACATAATTAAATAATTATAAGTTTAAATAAGGTAAAGGCACCTAATTCCGCGCTGTTTTTAACATAACACGAAAGAACATTATAAATTAAGTATTTATCGGACCTTTGTGTACAATTTTATATTTTTATCAGAAGTGTTAGCTATCAAATTTTTGAAAAATATTTGCAGTTTGTCAGTAGAAGGTTATTGAAGCTGATAAAATAAATAAAAATATAAAAAAGTCCGAGGTACCTTATTCCGATTTAAAAATCGTAATTCCGATGCATTCGGTTCCTAATTCCGAGTATAAAAATAGAAAGGGAACTATGTAGGGAGAATTATACATGATGTTTAAAAGTCAAATCTGTTTATTTTTTATATTACTTAAATCAATTCCGTTTTTGTTTATTCTAGTTTTATTCTAAACCCTGTTTTTTATTAATATTATTCCTTAATCTTATAAAAATATAAAAATGAATTAACAATATCAACATTAAAATCTAATTGTTGCATTACAAAAATAATTGCATTATTATTATTTTTGTACTTACAAGTTAAAAGTATAACAATTGCTATAATCATATCAAAATTAGAGCCTATTACGAGATCCAAATTTGTTTATTTTTACCTGTGCTACGACCCGTAGTAGCACCGGTAAAAAGGGAAAATACCTAATATGAATATTCTTAAGAGTTTTCTAAAGTCATTTTCTTTAATATAATAAAATAAATAAAATACATGCAATTAAAAAAAAACTAAACGTAAAAAAAATAATTTTATTATATTTTTTTACAAACACACACTCCAATTTTATGTATTTGTATAGATGATTAGTATTCTTTCAGTTACTAAACGCGTATCTACTAAGCACATAAAATAATGAACACTCTGTATTTAAACAGGGTCTTAACTAACTTCGGAATTAGGTTCTCATGTAATCTTATTCCGACGTAAATACATCGGAATTCGGTACTCATGTAACCTTATTCCGACGTAAATACATCGGAATAGCGTTTTATGATGCTAAATCAAAGTTTCTAATTCCGAGTACTAAAAAGTAAAAGATTTTTTAATATTATGCAAATAAAATAATGTATAGTTACAATATGAAAGGAAAACAAATATAAAGTACATACATATAATAACAGAACACTTATAAAACCTAATGTCTTCACTAAAATCTTCTATACAACGTATTAATAAAGTACCTGTACAAACAATTTTTGACCTGCTATAATTAGTAAATGCGACGCCACGGTGTACCTCGGAAATAGATTATTAAATGTATGAGTTATTCATTAAGTCAGAACTAACACATTAAAGTTTATAATCATAAAACAGACACCGAAATTTAAAAAAACTAAATGTCTTTAAATTTGTTTTTCCGTGGTATACATCGGCTTTTAGGAACACACTAAAATATTTTGCACCTAATGCCGCGGTATTTTAAACACTTATTTTCTTGCTAATTTGCAAATAAAATACTCAAATCTTAAGTGTTTTCGATAAAAAATATTATCCTTTCAATATTTCAACCTAAACGAAAACTCGCGTTGTATAAAATTATTACGTAAAACACTATTTGGCAAATCGTAATACTCACGTGCATAAGGTCCCAAATGTATGAAGTATGCTTTCGACGCCGCTCCCCGCGGCAAAATGACCGATTATTTTACAGTGTGACCATACTAAACTCTCCTTTGTATAAATAAATATGAACAGATAATTATTAATTCATTATTTTATCATGCAGACCATAAATAACTAGTAAATTGCTTTAAAAAACTGTTTTTCTAAATACATCGGAATATGATGCCATTTTTAGAACCCCTCGGAATAAGGTGCATTTACCTTAATAACAGGTTGAATGATAAGATTCGTATCTTTTATAATTTTGGAAACCGTTATTTATATACATATCGTGTAACGTACCTATCAAAAACCTAATATTGTAGTTCGCTGATTTTATTTGTAAAAGCACAAATAGAAGATAGGACAGAACCGACACTTTTGTCCGCTCCGAAACCATTTTCGATAGTGTCATGATACAGCGGTCTGTCGCACATTAGCAATGGATTTTTTTTAAAGGGGGAAAATCTACGAATGACTGCTCTCAACTGGATGAGGCGGGAGGGAGTATCAGACTCTTACAGACGACAATGGATACCACTGGAGCACCGAACCAAATTGACGATTAGGTGACGGTTCGGTTCGATTGTCTATTTGTGCTTTTATGCCTAGGTACTCATTTAATTGTAATAAGAACACTTCGGTTTTTAATTTAGTTTAAGTCATTCTTCCAGATAGGCCGGTTGGAAACGACCTACATCCAACGGCTCCCTGATACCTTAATCAGGTCCACCTAGCGGATGGATGTCCAACGTCCTTTCCTATCTGAACGTCATTAGGAGAGGCCTATGTTCAACAGTGGACGTCCTGTGGCTGATGTGTCATTCTATTCCGAAATAGGTCAGTTCGAGTTGTAGTCACCACAGAGGGTAGGTATAGGTACTACTTGCTACTGCTACGTCCTACTGCTGTGTAGGTATTTACTTACATCATCATTAGGTACCTTCTTTTGCCCAGTAATTTCTTATATCGTTCATACATATTATATTTAGCTCGATAATTTCTTAGACTATCGAATCATCTCTAGCTGGTTGATGGGTTGTTACTTTATATATCTATTGCCCGAATACTGAAACGTTACTCAATTTTAAGTCGCGCTTAAGTATAGTTCTGTCTCTACAAATTCTTTGTAAAATGACAGAGATGGCACGATATTTAAGCACGACTTAAAATTGAGCAGTGTTTCAGTATTCCAGCATATATAATACTTATTCACTATACCTACATTCAGTTAAACAACATTTGGATTGCATACGTTAGTCATATATTGACAATAATATATAATAGCTTGGACCATGCTCCCGCTACTGGTCGGGTCCTATTTTTTTGTATTTTTAAATATTATTTTTTTAATTTTGTAAGTAGTATTTAGAAATACAATTTATAGAGAATTTTAAATAAATATATATAATATATTATTATTATATTATATATTATTGTCAATATATATTATGATCATAAACTTCTACTTATTCTGTTTTAAGAGTTACTCAAGTACTTCCATTTAATTGTGTACCAAATTCAATCTGATTAAGACGACGATCAGATAATTCAGATACTAAGTTTTACCTAGTTATCGAACCCTACATTCCTGTGTGAACATTCAGCCATCAATTTCCAACAAAATGGCTGAAGTCAGCGAAGCAATGTTTACCTAGCAAGGAGGTAGTAATGAAATTAAAAACGATACTTTAGTACCCACCACGATACCTAACCGGTCTAAGCTGGACAAGTTAAATACATCGATACGATACCAGCAGTCTTCACTTTTCAATCGATTATTTTAATCGATTTGTGCATCGATTGATTCGTTTCCGCGAATCGAGTGAAGACGATTGAACTGTGATTTTTGTTTTACAGGTATTTGATGTCTGGGAGGTTTTGCCATACATCGCCTTGCTTCACTGACAGACAGATGGAAGGACAATTCAATTTTTGACGTTTCAAAAATGCCTAATTAAGAATTTATTAAAAGGCTTTGACTTTGACTTTTTGGGTTCAGGATACGCGACGACTCATCATAAGGAACTCTAGGTTAGTGCCACATTCAAACCTGCAGCTATAGCCAAATGGCATTTAGCGCTTGTCTACTTGTAGAGTAGAAAATTAAATTATATGGAATCGACGTAAATTTTGACACTTGTCAGTGTCATCCCCATACATTTAGTTTTCTACTCTCTCTGTTGACAAGCGCTAAAGTGGCGTTTGGCTAAATGCACTGCTTATAGGGTTAAGCAGTAACTATAGAATGTCATAACAATGAGTTTTTCTCTCGTTGTAAGGTTCTCTCTCATTATCATTCTTTTCCGCAAAATTTATCACTTAGACGACGACCTAGCTCTGCAAACTAAGAAATATTTCTGTTAAATCATGAACAACTTGTGAGAGTCCACTGAGACTTCATAGTCTTCATGGTCTTCAAAGGCATGAGCCTTTTCTACATAAGAGAATTTGCCAAAAAACTCCATTCTTGGTAGGCAAGTTGAAGAATGCCGGGCAAAGGGTCTCGGGTTCGATTCCCGGGTCAGGCAAAGTATTGCTGATTTTTTTTTAATTCTCAGTAGTAGCACGGAACCTAGAAAAATGTCCGATATATGGCAATAGACTCACCTCCTATTACTTAGGACCCACAACATAAATGTGTGGGTGTTACATTGTACAAATGTACAGTGGCATTAAGTGCCGTAAAATGCACCTCTGCCTATCCTTTCAGGGGTAAAAGGCGGGATGTTATGTGAAAAGACAATTATGTACCTAATGTATTTTACTGTACCATCATCGTAGATTACAATAGTCTGTTGAGTTGAATAACAGATTGTAAATACTGTAGTACCTATCGCTGTAATCCATTTGTATTGAACATGACAACGTTTATTGGAGTGTAAATAAACTTTATAGGGAAATTGCACGAGACTTCAAGGCAAACGTATTGGAGTACTGAAAGACGAAGTTCAGTTAAACATGACAAACTAATAGTAAAGTAAACAGTTAACTGTGAGGTTACACGACTCCTTTCCTTAGTAGATAGGAAGAATTTATGTTACCTCTTGTAGTAGGTACATTCTTATTTATGTATCTTAGAATAAGATCTACACCTCGCAATCGTCTTTTCACAGTCGCGAAACAATTAAAACATTTCTCCCATTCCCAGATCAACAAATTATCGCGATTAACATAATCATAATTACGATCGGTAGCTAAGATGTATACAACAAGTCCACATTGTATTTCCCATGTTCTAAACTTGTATACAAAACTGTATACCGGGCTACTGACACGGGCCCGCGCCGCAAGCGCGTGCGTGGCGCGTTGATGTCTTTTGTATGCGCCTTTTATACAGCCATGTTTCTCCGCCGGCCTTATCTTTATCGTTTACAAAATACATCTTTCCGCCGCGAAATACAAACGTCTTAACAATCCTTCGTCGCTACGTACATTTTAACATCGCCTCGCATGTTAAAATGTTCTGAAAGTCAGAAGAGAATGTCGGACGACTTAATTGATAGCAATAACAAAATGATATCGCGAATTTTAACACAATTCAAATGAAAGTATACTTATAGCCGAAATGGCAGAACATTTCGATGTTTTTTTTGTACCGAAGAAAATGCTAACACACTGACATACTTAAAAGCGAAGCGAAAAGCGGATTTTCACCGTTGCGAACGTTCAAAACACGTTATTGTACCAATTGGTAACGCATTACTGAATTATCACACTGAAACCAAAACATAGTCCAAATAAGGTGATACCCGAAATTATAAGAAAGTTGTAAGGAAAGACTTACCAGTTAGAGTTTTCTATGTTATCCAGACGTTAGGGGTAAACACAACACAGTTTTTTATATAGAACAACAGAATAGGGTTGCGCCACGCACGTGTCGAGTTTGTCGATAGTTGAGCGGTGTGTCGCGACGTGTGGTCGGAGCGAGTGCCGCGGGAGACTGGCGCGCCGCCGCGTCTGCGCGCACCTGCCGCCCGGCCCCCGCACTAGTGACAGGTGAAACGGCACATCGATATCGATACGCCACAGCGAAGCACAAAGTACCCAGCTGGTAGAGCCGTTAGTTTTATCCAAATAAAAAGCTTGTAACTGCGTAAAGTTAGCGGTAGTAATTGTCCACTTCAATTTGGTTAAGTGTTCCGACTTGAAAGTATCCTGTGTTATATCCCAGCTGACTGATAAAGTTCATGGTAACTTTGAAGGTACTGGTTTTGTGGGGTCATTTTGTAACAGGTGCATAATATTTAAATACAGCTGGCTTCCCTTATTTGTCTATTTGAACATACCACCATTTTATTTCATACCAGGACATTACCACTCTCAATCCAAGAATGGAATGCCATAATAATTGTGCAATCACTGCATACTACAATATTGTCAATCCGAAAAGTAGGTAAAAAATAGATATAATAATTAGAAACATCTTAAATATTTAGTTATCCTTCTGCCCCTTATTACAGCGACCGCCTTATATTGTAACACGATGCGTAGGCGGTGAGATGCTGTCAGTTATACGAGGATCACAATGGGCGGTCAGATTAAACTTACCGTTATTGTTTTAAGCCGTATAATAAATCTACACTTATCTAAACTAGACTAAGATAAGTAGTACTGGCGTTGAAAGTGGTTCGGATTCGTGTAATAATATTTTGTTATACATATAGGAATAAACATTCGGAAAACTGATTGCTGCAACAATCATTGTTCGGATTGTTCCATACGTATAAGAAAGTTTTCAAAGAGCCTTTCCTACTTAGCCAAGCCAACTAATACCACTCGTGTTCGTATAGGTACTCTTACCAACTTATTACTTCCAATATTCAATAAATTACATTTAAATTCAAATAAGTACTAAGAAGCAAAATATTAATTTCAGTTTTAGAACATGTTCTATAAACCCAAACATCGATAAAAAACCATCGACACACCACATCACTAAACCTACGCAAGCAACGTACTGATCAAATTAATTACCGTCTCATCTCGACTCCGCAACGCTCTCGATCAAAAACTATTACTTTACTCTTTCACACTAATACAGAATAGTATATCTGTCTCACTCTTTGTAAAAAAATGCTTAGATTCTTCGTGCTGAATGTGAAACTGTAAGTTTCACCTGTGGCTTGAATGAGTCGAGTGATGTGGGTGCCTAATGACTAGTGTTTAAGAAAATATGTAGGTCGCCTCGCTGCGCTGGGATTGGGTAGTTGGGATATCGAGGATATAGATGAATTGGAGGTTGATTAACTAAAAATTAGGTTCTATACGTTGATTTAATTAAGTAAAATACTCAAAGGTGAATGACAAGTTGGTTGAGTCGCAACTGCTACTGCCGAGCTAGGAGGTCGGGTTCGATTAACACATCAGGCAATTTTTTTTTAGATTTTCGCGTGCCCTATATGTGGTTGACATTACAGGTCAAATTGAACATTCTATGTATATGAGTGCTCTCGAGTTTACATAACATAAGATTAATTGACTAAAAATTAAATAAAAACTGAACGAAATTAGCCTAGTTTCCTATCCTTACGATATATCAAATATGAAGGTCAACAATAACTTTTTAAAAAGCAGTGAAAAAATCAAGCCATTATGAAATAATAAAGCAAAAATATTATAATAAAAATTTACTTAAAATTAACTTCTTTACACATTTAATAGTCAACTATAACAAAATATTATATAATTTTCATGAATTTTCTGTCTCCTTGTACCTGAAAAGAAATCACATCAATGATTTAAATGTGTGTGACTGCCTCGTTGGCCGAGTGGTCGCAAGTGCGACTGCCGGGCAAGGTGTATAGGGTTCAATTACCGCGTCGGGCATAGTATTACTGGATTTTAAAAAATTCTCAGTAGTAGCACGGTGTCTGGAATTGTGTCCGGTATATGGCACCCCCTATTACATGGGACTCATAACATAAATAGTGAAAAGTAAGTACATTGTAGGTACAGTGGCATAATGTGCACCTCTGCCTACCCCTTCGGGGATAAAAGGCGTGATGTTCTGTTATGTTATGATTCAATGTGTGCCTTTTCTTTGCCTGATTGCCAAATGTTCATCCATTCTCATGAAGTTTCATATCTTACTAATATTATAAATACGAAAGAGTGTTTGTCACTCAAGCACATCAAAATGGAATTAGGAACAGAGGTAGGTCATAGTCTTAAATAACACATATTCTACTTGTATCCCATCTGAATGTGGGCAAACCCACTTGCAAAAGCAAAGCTAAGTAGCTTTGCTTTAAATCCTTCTATCAAGTGTAAGTAGGAATTGGCCAGTTTCCTTGGTTTAAAATAAATTGTTTCAACTTTTCAATGCAATAAATAATTAAAAAGTAATCCATTGATTTGACAATTTACCTACTATTATATTTTCTCGCTAATTTTAAGGAAATAGGTATGCTATTTGTTGCAGAAATATGATGACATCATAAGTTGCGATCCAATACAAAATTCATAGAAAAGTATTGTTTTTAACATTTCAATAAAAGTATTGAATTTTACTACCTGTCAACTACCATATTAAAAATAACAATGAACTAGAATAAAATAACAATAAAACTTACTTGCAAGATATACAAGTGTAGAACACGGTCTGTCCTTCATCAGCAGACCGCAGTTGTAATGTAGCATAAGACATTCTATCGTGACCACATTTCGGACACTTCCGTTCCACAACAGGACCTTCTGGACCATCCATATTCAGTATATTTTCATTGCTCACCACTGATACTGTGTTGAAATGAATTGTATAGTTGAATTTTAAGTCGCTGAAATCTGAAACAGGATTCTATTAATTTATGAAGTCAATACTAAAAGCATTTTATAGATAAATTTTCATAGTTGTGGCCAATGCGGACTTCGAAATTAAAGAATGTCATTGGTTTGACAACATCATTATGTTGTGTAACATTTAGAAGAGGATACAAATGTCATTAAAATTATAATACTTAAGATGAAGTTCTAGATTACACTATAAGTGGGATTTTAATAAAATGGTACTCCTAATAAAATAATTCAAAATAACAAAATCTCGGATGGACACTAACATTTTTAATAACTAATTTTTTAATAGTTTTTTGGTACAGCTATGTCACATGGTGATTATAGAAAAGATTTATCAACAGTATCAACACAACACCCTTAGGTACTCCTAGCAAGGTTATCATAAGAGAAGACTAGTAGACCAATAAACTATACATTTGATAGACTAGGCTCCTGCCTAGTCTATCTACGTGAGCTCATTGATAAACTTGAACCTCCTAAGAAGTCTGATGTTAATATTAAGTGAGTTTTTTTTTAATTTTAATTTTTAATTTTTTTAATTGAATTTTTTTTGTAACTTTAAAACAAATTATTAAAAATAGTTATATGAGATTTGAAATAATTAAATTATTGCATTAATTAAAAATATTATTTTGTAAGTAGAGTAAGTACTTTTGCGGTGCCCAAATGGGCCTATAGTTGGAACATATTTTGTCATAAATTGTAAACAGCCCTGTAAACACTATAGATGCATTAAAGTGATTTGAATTTGAATTTTGAATTTGAGTTCAACTAGAGGTAAAAACATTAAACTTACTTTCAGCATCAAATGAGGCTTTGCAAGCATAACATTTGACCGAGCCGAATTCTTGGAGCAGTGGTAATATAGAACCACATCGTGCACAGAAAGCAGTACTGCTGGAAAATGGGCCAGTTTCTGCCATAGTCTGTAAATAAATAACAATATAAACAGGTCAACCATGATCGCAAAACATATTATTTTAAATCTGTTGTTACTTTACAAACGATGAGGCTATAGAAGGCTTAAACGCAAGTTAGTCTAATAGAAGACACTTTGACACTTACCGTCACTAGTTTGTCCTAAAAGTAATAATTAATTAATAATACACAACTCTAATATACTCTTTACACTGAAGTGAATTTGAATAAACAATGTGTTTTAAGGTTATGTTATGATTTTTTCCAAAGACCAAAGAGCCAAAGAACCAAATGCTAATTTATCTAAATTATTTAACCAGGAACGCTATTGAAATTGTTGCCAGAAGATAAAAATTAGAAGAGGAATTTTCATTTTGTAACCGCAAAAATGCAAGATTTAATGAAAAAGTTATGTTTAAATCCCTTTTAATAACGGTTTATTATAACCTTATAGTATTTAAAAATTACAATATTCAATCACAAACGTTATCAATTTTTTTACTTCAATAAGAAAATAGGTAGTAAGAAAGAAATACTTTCCTTTGAAAAAAAAATCCAAATTCAGTATTAGAGTACTTTATTTACGAGAACGTCATAATTTACTAGTAAGTGAAACAAGTGACACTTACACACACTAAGTTTTAAAATGATAGAAACTACCTATTTGATTTTAGTATTCAGACATTAGTCATTATTAATTTACGCACTATTGTGACTTAGTTCAAGTTGAATTACTATTTTTTATCGATACTTATTATGAGGCAAGCTCGAAATAAGTAACAAAATAAAAAGGAAAAAACTCACTACGCCTTTTTTTATTTTTGTGATTACGTTCCTCGATCATAATCAACGTATACTTTAAATAAAATTATTATCAAAACGATTGAACAAATTCAAAGTTATTTTTTTAATAACTAACTACTATCCTTCTGCCTGCGTCTTTGTACACGCAATCCCGTTTTTTCCGTTCCCGAAGGATTTAAGGCAAATCTGATAAAAAAGTATCATACGCCCGTCTTCTGGGTTTTTAAGCTTTCTTCTTACCAATAAAAAACTAAATTTAGGGAGTATGTAATTTTTTTTGTGATAAGTATTTACAATACTTTGTTATTGGACGGGAGTAATATTGTATTGATTTTTTAATTTGTCTTCTTTACAAATTTATTTCAAGATAGTTAAACGTAACAAACATTTCAAACAATGATTATAGCAATCATTCAGTAGTATTTATTATCATGCCTCCGCCGTCAATAGGTAAAAAGACAGAAGCAAAGACATGGCTTGTCGTGAAATACCTAGGTATCTCGTAATTTTTTTTAACGTAATATAGCGTTTACTTTTTAATAATAATGCACCTTACTAACGATAAAAGCATTTTTGAAATTAGGCCAGTAGTTATTATGCGCTATGCGAAAACATTACACACATAATATATACAATGGGAAACATGTACACGTGTGTGTGTGAGAAAACAGAATACTTTTTCTTATAATAATAATGTTTCTTATAATAAGGCATAGCAAGGAGCTCCACGGACGCTTCTTCCGGGCCCTTCATGGGCCCAGTGTAGATTTTCTTGCGTCCGTATCTTGGCTACGATTCAGTAATCTCTTTGGAGAAACTGAAGGATTTGTCTGTGCAATTATGGACGAAGTTATCCTTACGAATAACTACCGGAAATATATAATTAAGGATGGGACGGTTGACATATGTCGGGCATGTCATAGTCCTGGTGAATCCATTAGACATATTATTTCTGGTTGTGGTCGTTTGGCTAACAGTGAATAATTGCATAGGCATAATCAAGTAGCCAAGATTATCCATCAGCAACTTGCTTTGCACTATCGACTTGTTGAGTCTGAGGTACCGTACTACAAGTATGTGCCCGACCCAGTTCTGGAAAATGACCATATCACGTTGTACTGGGACCGGTCTATCATCACTGACAGGACTATTATAGCCAACAAACCTGATATAGTGGTGATATACCGACAAGTGCGCCGCACGATGATAATCGATATCACTATTCCTCATGATGAGAACCTCGTGAAAGCTGAAAAAGATAAACAAATCAAATATCTTGATTTGGCTCACGAGGTTGTCGACATGTGGAATGTAGATTCGGCTATCATTGTGCCGATAGTCGTGTCGGCCAATGGGTTAATCCCTAATAGCCTCGACAACCACCTTAGGAGGCTAGCGTTAGGCAGTTGGGTCAAGGGCCTGATACAGAAGGCAGTTCTCCTTGAGACGGCGCGCATTGTGAGGAGGTTTCTGTCTCTGGAGCCCTAACCACCGGTAGCTTGGACCATGCTCCCACTACTGGTCGGCTCCTATTTTTATATTTTTAAATATTATTTTTATACTGTAGTATTTAAAAATGTAATTTTAGAGAAAGTTTAAATAAATATATGGACATAATGTTTGAATAATAATAGTAGAAATAATTAGTACATAAAAAAATTATTTTTTATAGAATTTTAAATAAATATAATTAAGTATGTAGAAATTATAACTGTTTAAATTTTCACTACATTTTGAATCAGTATTTTTGTTCAAGATAAGACCTGATAAGAGAATTAATTAATAGTACAATTGTTTAAGTTCTTTGGTTACTGTGAAATCAATTTTATAAGTTATTTCATTTTACGATTTTTTTAGTCAATTCCGTTTCATGCGATTATTCAATCAAGAGTCATTCAAAAGTGTCATTTGTGGAAAAATATCCTTTAAATACACACACGTACATGGATAACGTAGTTAATTGTATGTTTCTTTTTTTAATATTTTGCTCAGGTAAATAGTAAGTATATCAATTCATAATTTTACCTCTTTCTATTTTTTTTATTGAATGAACCGGTAAATGAACGCATGGATCTCCTGATGGTAAGTCTCCACTCGGCGCCGCCCATGGACACCCGAAACATTAGAAGTGTTACAAGTGCATTACCAGCCTTTTGGGAATTAGGAATTTGAGGATTGTTGGTGATTCGCGGATTCGAGAGTGGGGTAACTGGGCCTGTGGTAACCTTACTCACACGACGAAACAAAACATTTTTCATGTCGGTTTTCTGTGAGGCCGTTGTGTCACTCCGGTCGAACCGGACCATTCGTGCTGTAGTATGGATCTCCCTCCCACACTTAAATAGTTTGTGTCAGTTACATAAACCTATCTATCTATAAGATATTTAATAAAATTATTCAAATTCCATAAATTAAAATGTAGATGGGTCAATTAATATTTGGAACACGATTAAATAGCAGTAAAAAAAACCGTTGCAAAAGGAAGAGACAAATGTGCTTAAAAAATATGGAATAATAAATTATGAGCGATCGGAAGTCGGGAAAAATGGGCGTGAAAATTGTAGGCCGCACCATCGCTTTTTTTTTTAACTTTGCCCCACACTAGGATTTTCTCTTGTGTCGTGGGTGCGTTTACAAACATACAAGTTCACATACACAATGACACCCAGACCCGAAACAAAAAGTTGTGGATCACACAAAGTATTGTTCCGTGCGGGAATCGAACCCGCGACACGTTGCACGGCAGCCGGTTGCCCAGCCACCGCACCAAACGTGCAGTCAAACCTCCTCGCTAGATAGTTGCGAAACGTCAACCCATCAAACATTATCCAAGTATAAAAAAATTGAGCCACCATTTAATGGGTATCCACAGTATGGAATCCAGAAAGATAATAGTGATAAAAAAATAACAGTGATTTTCAGTGACCGCTGATACTACATCCTTACGAAGAAGCGATTACGAAGAGTGTACGTCACCAATAGTAATGAGCAGTTGTCTCCTAAAATGTGGTGTCAACCACGGGTGTATTTATGGGCGTTGCATATGCGGTAGTGGACAAGACAAAACCAGAAAAATGTTAACTTTTAATACTGGAAGACTTAAAGCGACGGTAATTAAATAACTAGCTATGTTCAGATCTATATTTTTATTTCTAATACACGTATGTACATTATCAGCTTCGAGGAAGGCAAACTTTACAAATAGGCTTGGTGTGTTCAATAGATCGAGGCAGTATTTCACCCCAGCCCACCACTTGCTTCTATAAAGGTTTGGAATACTGTTCTCATCTTTGGGCGTTGGCACTCCAGTACAAGCTTCTCCCTCTGGACCGCGAATGTTTCAAACTATGTCGGGATGTTTCAAACCGGCTAGACACTTAGACAATGCGTAGAGATTTGTTGTGCATTTTCTATTACCACGGGGAGTGCTCTGAGGCATTGTTTGACCTGATACCTGCCGCATCTTTTCGCCATCGACCCTCAACACAGCATATACATCCCCATTATACAAATGGTTGACAGGCCACAATTGTGTGCTTCTCGTGTAGATTTCTGTCTTGCACAGCAAAACTGTGGAATGATCTGTCGACGGCGGTATTTTCGAACCGATACGACCTTCAAACCTTCAAGAAAAACCCTTAGCACTTGTTTGATTATAATACATCAATATTTTGACAAACAATCTTTTAAGTTCTACTAAATTAGGTTCATGCAAAGTTGATGATAAAGTTATCGTAAAGTGACGTAACGCGACATTTCAAATCAATATAGCGTCGAAACTATTTGTTTCTGTAACAAAAGAAAAAAATATGTGTCTAGTGTTTCAAAGTAAACTACCAGACGGACATCAAAATAAAAATTAGGCACCTACCCTATTCTCTGTATTTATTTCCATGCTTGATTTATATATTTATAAATATTTGATGATAAAAAAACATTTAAAAATACAAAGAGCAGTCGCCCACAGTAAGTGAGTTTGATAATGCTAGCCTACATAATCTTATCATAATTATATCATAATTATTACAATTATACAGGGTTAACTGTTAAAAAAAATTGTTTAGCAACACGATGATGATATGTCGCATTCAAAGTGTTACCTAGTAGATACGAAGTTTTTAGATGCGCTTTGGGTACCCCAGAATAAATAGTAAGTTCAAATAAATTGTTCGAAAAATATTTGTTGAAAAATATTGTGAAAAGTTAGTATACTGCTTTGTTTGGAATTAATACTTTTTGATCCGATTCTATACAGCGATTACGTCATTCTGATTTGGAAGTTTATTTAAGAAGTAGGGTTCTTAAAAAGTAAAGTATTAGATTTAGATTTCTCAAGCATTTTAAATGCAATTAAAACGTTTTGTTTTTAATAATAAAATACTTGTAGTTGTTGGTCACACTTGGACTTGCGTTCCAGATCTAAATATAAAAGAGAGCGAGAGCGTAGCGTGATAAAAGGGGGTAGAGAATAGTTTTGCTAAATGTCATTCTGACTGTCTGACATTTTGAATTTGATCGTCCCTCCATCTTATTTTTCGGCCTTGGTAGTTGGTTGTTTTGTTATGGCTTGATTTGCAAGTTTTCTGCTTTAGTGTCGTGAATTTGTGAATTGTTTACCAACATTTTAAAGACAACGTGAGTACCGTTTTATTTGTATTGCGCATAATGTTATTTTATTATATCGCCAATGAGAAATATTAAAAATAATGTCATTTGTTACCCGCTACAAGCCGGCACTACCTATAAAAATAAAAACAAGAAGACGCTTTACAAAAATATTTGTGAAAATTAATTGTCTGATGAATGAAATAGCAATTATTTACCGAAAGTTTATGAATACCATTCTAAGTGTACAGATATATGAACGTTTTTCGTTATTCATGTATAATGATAGGTACGTTACAATATTTATTGCATTTTTTGGCAAATGTACGTAATTTTTGTTGCTTTTTAGCTTGAACCATGGATGAATCAATGGAATCTCTGACTCAGCCAGATCTGGTTTACCCACAAACCGCTCAGCCGATGGAAACTGCCCCAGCAAGTATGGCTCCATCATCAGGTCCTCAAGCCGGCAGACATGAGGAGTTCTCTGTAGAGAAGGTACTGGATCGTAGGATGAAGAATGGCAAAGTTGAATATTTACTCAAGTGGAAGGGTTATTCTGAGTAAGTTACATTTTATTCACTCATAGTATACTAGTATAAAAGTTAAATTGACTAATTAGAAACTTACTTAAAATGATCGTTTATGTGGGTCAACAAGAGCTAAGTAATATTGCTATAAAATAGGGGTGGCCAACCTCGGTCAATCGCGACCATTTGTCAGGTCGGTCATGGCAAGGCAAATCTATTCTATATTATTGTATTTATTATATGTGTTTGTAATGCCTTACATCTTGAATCTTAAACTGTCAAACACCAAGTGGTCACCGGTGACCGCAACCTATTGTTCTTTAATTGTGTCTATAATGACGGTACTCAACGAGTTAAATGATACAGCATAGTGTACATAATCATAAAATATATAGAAAAATGACACAAAATGATGCTGTAATAGTGTTTATATATTACTCGCTGACCCGGCGAATTTCATACCGCCTAACGGTCAATTAATGTTGTGTTACCTTTTAGCTGAACTAATTTAAGCTTTGACGAGTGTAATACAATGATACAAAGTAAATATGAACACAGATATATAAAAGTATTTTGTTATTATGAACAATACATACAGAAAGAGAATACAAATAAAAATTTAGTGAAGCTGGTAAAGTTGTTTTTCCATATTGCCCTTCCAGTTTACAACTGACAAATGAATTTAAATTTAAAAAAAAAATAAAACTTTATTTCATGTTAAGAAACAAGTGATATGTACAGACATTCTGTACGCGTTATTCTATTAGTAGGTACTGAGGAACACCTCATGTCCCAAGTCACCATTAAAATGATAGAAGTATGTAAGTGGTAGATCGCACAGGATTTTGTTAGTAAAATGTAAATCTTATGTCTGATCGAGTTGGTCACCCCTTGGATAAGATAAAAACATGCATGATTATCCTGGTACCAAGATAATTCGGTCTAATCCGTCTAACCAACTAACAAACAAATACTAATTTAAATAATCTAACTTCCAGTGACGACAACACTTGGGAACCAGAGGACAACCTCGACTGCCCTGAACTCATATCTGCATATGAAGAAGCTCGTACAAAGAGGGAGAAGGAAGCTGCCGCGGCTGCCTCTGCTGCTGCAGCCGCAGCTGCAGCCGCTGCAGCTGCCGCCACTGCCGCTGCAGCTCCTGACCCTATAGAAGAAAACTTGGCTAGCCGTAAGAGGAGTAGGAGAGCAGACAAAAAGAAAAAAAATGAGGTAATGTTTTGCACCATTTTATTATCTTATTCAACTTTTTTACTTAATTTGATAAAACGGGAATATTGTGCTAAAGTCCTAATCAAATGTTAAAATCCTTATTTCCTTACTTTCCTTACTTCCTTACTTATATTATAAATCGGAAAGTGAGTTTGTTTGTTAGTTCCTCTTTAACGCCGTAACTACTAAACCGATTGCTTTGATTTTTTGCAGATGTATAGTTAGAAGTCCAGATTAAATAATAGGGTACTTTTTATCCTGGAAAAATTTGATATTTCCGAGGAAAAACAAAAGTATTGGTATAGATGGCGCTGTGTGTATTGGTATATGTCACATTGGTTTTTTATCCTTTTGTGACGCGAGCGAAGCCGCGGGTAAAAGCTAGTAGAATATAACCTCTTGAGTTTCGGTGTTTCCTCTCAGAGTCTAATCAGATAGGATATTACTGCCCCCTCTACTTCTAGTGTAAAATGTTCTCATGTAAAACTGTTTTGTAACTAGTCTATGTACAATACAATTTAATTTCAAGAACAAGTAAAGTTCTAATCATACAACATAACAAATCAATGTATTGACCGGAATGATACCACGTCCTCACAGAAAACGGACTTGAAACAATGCTATTTATTGTTGTATTTCGGCGTATGAGTGAGGTTTCTTGAAGCCCAATTACCCCTCTCTCCAGTCTCCGAAAGGTCGGTAACGCACTTCTAACGCCTCTGGTGTTTCGGGTGTCCATGGGCGGCGCCGATTGCTTACCATCAGGTCATCCGTCTGATCGTTTACCAGCTTATCCAATAAAAACATACAAATGTATGTCCTATAAATATGACTTAATGTGGGTTCTGTTACTTACCTTACATTTTCTTGTTCCATTTTCATTTCTATTCAATATTTCTTTAATTTTGGGTTGGTAAATGATAAATATTTAATTTTTTTTGCAGGTAATACAAGAGATTGAGAAGCCACGTGGGTTAGCGCGCGGCCTAATGCCCGAGAAGATTCTAGCTGGTCAACTGTTCCATGGAACTTTATTCTTTTTGGTCAAATGGTAAGAACACTATAGTTTTGCTGCAGGTTTTAAGTGACTTTTTTATTTTTATTTATTTATTAAAGAAAAACAAACAGTAACATATTACAAAATATACATATGTATGTTACCCACTACATTCTTCACAAATCTAGACAGCTTTCATAGATTCACGATGCACCACTTAGGTACGCGAATAATTAAAATGGTCAAAAACATTTTTTTTAATTTTTAAAATTCTTACAATTTCGTACACACACTGCGTCACAGACAGACTGTCGATCCATAAGAGATGTCCGAATTTGCCTCTTAAAAACGTTTTTATTTAAAAAAAGGATGTAAATTCCGTTGAACTGACTTGAAGTTGTATTTGGGATTTGACCAATATTTGCGGATTTAATTAAATAAGAATTCTGATACTGAATGAAACACTATTTATTTTTCTAAGTACCAACCTGTCGCAAAAACGCTTATGTCATAAAACAGACCATAGAAAGCAAGGAGAATACAATTAACTCTCTATATATATAATAGCGCCTCTACCGGCAACACTGCAAGACAGTAGTAATCTACATAAATAAAAATGAAACCCGTTTCCCGTTGTCACACCATAACTTGACAACGGCTAGACAGATTTGTCAGATTTATTTTGTTGTGTTTGTTATTGTCAGGAGTAGGTTCTTATGACAGAAAAAAATCCTGAAAATCCTACGGAAATCTGAGAAAAAGGGATTGCGCGTACGAAATCGCGGGCAGAAGCTAGTACAATATATAACTTAACTAGCTTTTACCCGCGGCTTCGCTCGCGTCACAAAAGAATAAAAAGTAGCCTATGTGACATATACCAATACACACAGCGCCATCTATACCAATACTTTTGTTTTTCCTCGGGAATATCAAGTTTATCCGAGTTAAAAAGTACCCTATTATTTAATCCGGACTTCTAACTTTACGTCTGCAAAAATTCAAAGCAATCGGTTGAGTAGTTACGGCGTGAAGGTGGAACAAACAAACTTACTTTCAGGTTTGTAATATTAGTAAGGATAACTTGTATAATATTTATTGTATATAAAAATAAATAAGATTTACTTAAAAATGTTCACAGGCACAATTGTACAGATTTCGACGTGGTACCGGGCCATGATTTGGGTGAAGCCTACCCGGAGTTTGTCATAAATTACTACGAGGCGTGTGCGCCGTTTAGTGTAAGACATAAAGTCGGCAAGATTATGAGAATAGCACCAGAGGTAAGTCTACTGCAGTGAATGTTCTTGAAAGTTTAGTATATAGAGTGTTAAGTGTGTGTGTGTGTGTAAGTAAATAAATTGTGGGAGAGCCATGCATCGACACGAATGAGCTGGCTCGACCGGAGTGATACCACGGCCTCATAGAAGACTGACGTGAAACAACAATGTGTTGTGTTTCGTCGTATGAGTGAGGTTACCGGATGCCCAATTACCTCCATTCTTTTTACATCCCATTATGTTCATTGCACATACCAAAGGGATAAAATGCCATATAATAAAATTCCCGACTTCAAGCTATTAGTGATAATTTTAATATTCAAAATAAGCAACTCTTTAACTTTACCTGGCTAAGAAATTGCACCTGAGATCCTGTAATCTGATCTCTGATTTGCAGTCGCGCTAACTGCACTAGCAAAGACGGCATTTTCTCTAAATTAATTTTTGTAAACTGCCTTTGTGTTAATTGTAATCACAACGAATACTTTATTATTCTAGTTGCCTTCAGGAGTTACATCAACAGCAGAACCAATGGATGTGCCGGCAGAATTAGCAGCTATACCGACAGAGAGTAAGTTACCTTATTATTAACTAGCTTCTGCCAGCGGCTTCGCCCGCGTTCCTAGGGGTAAAAAGGCATAATCTAGCTCTGTTCCAAATTGCATCCTAATCCCGTCACCCGTTTTGATGTTACTAAGCTGCAAATAAACACACAAATATCGCATATTCGCAATATTACACTTCTACAGTTTTATTACACACTAGCTTTTACCCGCGGCTTCGCTCGCGTCACAAAAGGAAAAGAAGTAGCCTGTGACATAATAATATACCAATACACACAGCGCCATCTATACCAATACTTTTGTTTTTCCTCGGGAATATCAAATTTTTTCCAGGATAAAAAGTACCCTATTATTTAATCTGTACTTTTAACTTTACGTCTGCAAAAATTCAAAGCAATCGGTTTAGTAGTTACGGCGTGAAAGCGGAACAAACAAACTCACTTTCCGATTTATAATATTATAAGGATAAGGATATATAAGGATATAACATAACATCACACCTTTTTATCCCGAAGGGGTAGGCAGAGGTGCACATTACGGCACTTAATGCCACTGAACAAATGTAACACCCACTTTTCTCTATTTATGTTATGAGTCCCATGTAATAGGGGGTGAGCCTATTGCCATATACCGGGCACACTACTGAGATTTTGACTAAAAACCCAGTAATACTTTGCCCGACCCGGGAATCGAACCCGAGACCCCTTGCCCGGTAGTCGCACTTGCGACCACTCGGCCAACGAGGCCATTATATGTATAGACTAGATATAGATAAAAAGTAGACCTTAAGAATGAAATTTATATAATTTACATTATTTAATTTACCTTACACTAGTTCAAATTCTATACTAGATAAATTGTTATTCATTCGGAATTAATTCTCAATAACTACATAATAGCATACTAATTTTTTTTCTTTTCTAACAGCTCAAGAAACTACCCAAGGGCTACCAACAGAGGATGCGTCCCAGCCTTTAGAAGTTCCAGTCAACTGACCATCGTTCTACAACGCTCGTAACAGCGACTACTAAGTGAGAAAGACTTACAAGTGAACTGTTGGACTTAATATAATTTTAAATATTTCTAGTGACATGCATAGTATGTTTAAGTTATGAAAATAATGAGTCATAATCGTAATTTAAAGTTGTTTCGTTTAACCCGGAACATAGATCTACGCGAGGCACGATATATTTTCCATTGTGTCTTAAATACCGGCAATCATGAGGTTAAATGTCCTGTTTCTATAGAGCGCTGGATATAGGAATGTCAAAGGAATTTGCTTTTTCAATGTGGGTTGGTATTAAGCAAATGTGATGATGCTTAAACCGGTTGCGTAGAGGCTTTGCTCAGCAGTAGGCGTTTATAGGGCGTTGATAATAATGAAAGCCAAATCATTTATTTGAATTCATTCATTCAATTAAAATCTTTCAGGTGTCAACACTGATAGCTTGAATTTATGATAAAAAAAACATATTTGCAATAAATAAAAAAAAACAAAAAATTTTTTAGCGTGCTATATCAGTGTTAACACTTGAAAGATTTTTGAATTTGTCGCCTTTTTCATGGGACTGGACTCACTTGACAGACTCTATTTATCTGTTGATTGAAAAATCAACCCTAAGACGAAGAATAATACTGTACAACCTGTCCTTAATAGGTATTAAGGACAGGTGGAATGACGTCACTTCTATGAACATTTTATACGTAGAAATGACGTTTTAGCCCCCACTCCCAAACTTTGATTCGTTTTGTCTAAGTATTATTTTATTATACAACAAAACAAAAAAATACGTGTCTAATATTTTTTCATTGCCTAAGTGACGGACTAATTAGATTTTTTTATTTTCATACCCCGTCATCATCCCAATTGCAAAAACAATTTCTTTTTGTCAGCGTTTCCAGAGTGTTCCGTTTACACCCTAACTAATGTATTCTACCGTCCACTATATGGCTTTTAATTAGACATATGACTCTTTATTATCTTAACGAAAGAGCTATAAAGAATTATTTAGTTTCAAGTGATGCATTTGTATTGAATACGTTTTATTTAAGCATTATTTTATTAAATATAAGTTTAACTTGGAGTTGTTTGTATGCAATAAAATATTTTTTTACGTGGATATAATAAATCCATACCTACTAATATTGTAAGTGGGAAGTCTTATTATAAGGTAAAGTAGAATTTTTATACTGTTTGAAAATAATATAGTAACTATAAGCATGCAATAATTAATAATTATATGGTTGAAAAACCATTCCTGGGGGCCCAAACGTTCCCAATTTACCAGTCCACAGCAACCCATCCATAGTCCTACCTTTTTTTCCATTGTCTACAATAGTTCTACACTAACGGGGGACTGTCCTTTAGTGTATTTCCATAGTGCATATAGGGATTGTCGCCGATTTGTGTCCCACTGTATTTTTAGATTAAAGTTGTCTAAAGCCTCGGGCCCTCGTACGCCTTCTTTATGACCGGGACCCTGTGGTCCCGTGAATGATAAAGACATAATATATGGTAATATTATTGTAATGTTTGTAAATAAACTAGTTTTTATGGATCGAGAACAAATAAAAGATGAACATTATCGATAAAATTCTTTTATTTTTCAATATTATCTTACATTAATCCCTGTAATATAAACGAGTATAAAACTTACAAATATCGACTTAAATCTAATTACATAGAGTATCAAATGCTTTGGCATGTCGTCGGTTGGAATGTATTTCTAATAGATCTCATATCAATCGAGTATCACTATGAAATTAGTACCTAATACAGTTTAACAGTAGTATTCCAAAAAGGGTAAACAGGAAAAGTTTTAACTTAAGTATCGATTTATAAAATAGAGTGTAGGACTTGGAAAATATAACTTTTAAGTAAAAATTAAAACATTAAACAGATAGGTATTTTGTAAAAACAATAAATTATTTCTTATACATTTCAAAGAGCCTTGAAAAAAAAAACGAAAACAGTCCCTGCACATATTTTGCACAAAATAAAATAATTGAACCTACTGCCGAATGGCATTTCACAGAGATACCCGATCAATCAAATCAATCCATACAGCTTCATAGTAGAAAATTAAAGTTTGTTTAGGAAAGGTGAGATGGACGCGAAGTTTTCGCATTCAGGGATCAGCTTTCCCTTGAAGGTGATGCAGGATTCAGCGCAGAGGGGACCTTCGAACCACGCGCCCAGCATCTTCTTGCACTGTGCGCAGTTCTCGATGCAAACCTCCAGGGGATCGTATCCAGTTGCTAGGACAAAATTATTTGAGATTTTAATCAGATTTTTGATGATAAAGTTGATTTCAATTAGAATGTAGTGCTTACATAACTCCTCGACTATTTTCAAGTCATGACGGGGCTCATAAAACTGACGCTCAATGCAAATAAAAGTTTAAGTGAGACGCCGGTAGATTCTCGTAATTTTGTTACGGTTTTTGGATCTGTTGCAATTTTATGACTGTTCTGCTTTTCGATCCTCGATTGAGCAATATCTCGTTAGGTACGTACGTAAAGTAGCATTATCAGACATGGACTATCGGATGTTGAAAGAACTGAATAATTGCTTCGTGTAAGCATAACATAAAACCCTTCAAAATATAGCCTTGATTCCAAAGACCTATTGGCCCCCAAAAATACACCAACAGCTGAAACATCTAAGTACTTTTCCAATTTAATATTAATCTGAAAGGGACACGTGGGATTCCTTAACGCATTTCGAACTTAGTTAGCTACAAATGTGAGAAAATGAAACGTTGGACTGTCCCAAAGGACTTATGGAACTTTCTAGATGGGATTTGAATTTGAAATTCTGTTTGAGTGGTGCAACGTGTTCTGCGTAGAGGGCGACTTTCCCTTTGGGAGCGCCCGAACATGGTTGTAATGAAGTAGGTACCTACCCTGATGAGTAGGTACTTACAATGTAGTGAAATTTTAGTCCCATTTTCGTCAGTAGAGGTTATTGTGTCAGCGGGTCTAGTGCACTCTAAGCCAAAGCTTAACATAAGATCACGCCTTTTATCCCCGAAGGGGTAGGCACAGGTGCACATTACGGACGGCACTTAATACAGCTTATAATGTAACACTCACTTTTCACTATGTCATGAGTCCCATGTAATAGGGGGTGAGCCTATTGCCATATACCAGGCACTATTCCAGACTTCGTGTTACTATTGACAATTTTTAAAGTACAGTAATATTTTGCGTCATCCGGGAATCGCACCCGAGACCCCTTGCCCGGCCGTCACACTTGCGACCACTCGGCCAACGAGGCAGTCCTCTCTGTCTTTGGATTCTCATTAATAACTAGTCTGCATTGGGCTTTATAAATACATTATCATTGTTTAATAGGTTAATATTTCGCTTTCGTTATTTACTTATGATTAGCCTGTAGGTAGGTACACTAAGGTATGTAATTTAGGTACCTAACCTAAATTTTTGGGATCCAAAATGGTATGAAGCTGTAATAGCCTACGCTTATCGAAAAAATAAACAAGCCATCACCATGTGATGTAGAGATTAATTCAACAATTTTGGCGTGATTAGGATGTACCACAGGGATGTACTATACCTGATTAGGTAATCACCATTTAACCTTTTACTGTTTAGTTGCTTACTAAATATCAGTTCAAAACAAACAATCACGTAACTTACCAAAGCAATAACAACAGATGTCATCGTCTAATTTTTCCTAAACATAATTTTCAAAGATTCTAACAAAATATTATCCAAATGACAGAGAGTCTAAATGCATGATTGTCGTTACGAGGTCAAGTGTAAGCCGTTAAGGTGAAATTACGCAACTTCAGCGAAAGTGAGGTGTCCAAATTGCGGATTGGGGTCATTGTCTCACGCGGTCGGACCCTGAATACATCTCTTGTTTATGAGATGAGAATATAAACTAGATGTTTTAAAAAAATAGCCCAAACAACCTTCTTTTAACGACATAAGACTTGAACATTTTTCGTTTGTAAAAAGTCTACAAACTAACTTGTTTACGAATTCTGTCGAAGTGGCTATTAATTTGTAGCTTGTAGCCAACATGTCAAGAACTGAAGAAGTTTTAAATTTTTTCGTTAATGAAACTAAGTTTGGAAGTTTATTAATTAAAGTGTGTCGTGAGTTTTATACTTTGCCTAGTTTTTGAATTAGTCTAGACTCCACATGCGAAATTACCCACCCACTAATTAATATAAGGAATGTGAAAGTTTTGCTTTAAAATTCAACGACTTAAATGTTTCATTTTATAAGTATAAAGGCAAATATTTTCGCTAGTATTTTAATTCCTCTACTTCAATATCAAATCTTATCTGCCTAAGAAGTTGACAAATGCACTCCTCCACTTTCGTCAGTACGCGGTTCATAATAATAGTTAAGTTATATCACAAAATCACGCCTTTTATCCCCGAAGGGGTAGGTAGAGGTGCACATTGCGGCACTTAATGCCACTGTACAATGTAACACCCACTTTTCACTATTTATGTTACAAGTCCCACGTAATAGGGGGTGAGCCTATTGCCATATACCGAGAACAATTCCAGACTCCGTGCTACAGCTGAAATTAAAAAAAAAAACAGTAATACTTTGTCTGACCCGGGAATCGAACCCGAGCCCCTGGCGCACTTACGACCACTCGGCCAAGTTAAGTTATAATAGAACTCATATCCAAAACAACCATAATTAAAACAGCAAGACTTTGAAATCATAACCTTATCTAGGTTTAGCAAATCTCGAACTAAGCTTGAAATATAATTCACTCGTCTAAACTATAACATCAGTCTAACTTCTAGAACGTTACCTATGTTAATCTAAGATTCAATTAAGATAAATAAAACAAAGACAATGATTCTTAAACACTCTTTGGTAGTCACGTTTAGTCTTTATGTTAAAAGTGTCCTTATGAATTTAAAGTTAGCACGTGTGTAGTGTTAAAATATCTAAACTGGTCTTATCATGATAATATAGATTGAACTCCTTCAATGGACTGCGGTATAACGGCTGACAGGGCCGAACTGTAAACAGGGACCCGATTTTTTGGCACCCCGAAGAGCGGCATGAATAGATTGTAGGGATTTATAATATAGTTAGAGTAAAAATAAGATTCAAATGATATAAGAATCAGTTATGCTTTAAAGAATAATAAGAACTGCAATAGATATTAGAAACATTAATGCCCGAATACTGAGACGTTACTTTTAAGCTAATTTTAAGTCACGCTTAAGTATAGTTCTGTCTCTACAAATTCTTTGTAAAACGACAGAGATGACACGATATTTAAGCACGACTTAAAATTGAGTAACGTTTCAGTATTCCGGCATAAGTCACGCCTTTTAATCTTCGAGAGATAAGGCGGACAAAATTGCACAAAATCTAAACAGAATCTAATATAGAGTGAGCCTGTAAGTCCGAAATTTCCTACTACGTGCCACTATTGAGATATTTTCGCTATCAATATTATATCTTAAGCCATGTACCCTAACATGTAAAATTGGTATTTTCAAGTTTGGGGCCCTAAACCTACAGTCTTCTAGTCAAGTCCACCCCTGGTCAAAACAGGCCTATTAAAGCTATTACATATCACGATATAGAAGCAATTGTACCCAATGTCCTCTAGACACCTGGATCAATGAGGTTTTTGTTCCAAAATTTAAAAGACCAGGTATTTTAAGATTATTTTCTTGACCTTTCGGTGATGCTCACGATATCACGATAATCCTAAACGACCACTTTGGTTTTATTGAATGGGAGTGTGTTGTTATGCTCTATTAAATTCTTGAACTATAATAATGTAAATATGGCTTACTTTTAGTGTTATAGATCTGGAATTCTATAATTGATTGTTTTTTATTAGATTCAGGGAAATAAGTAGATACCTGTACTACAATTCCTCATGTGTTAACTCAATATAATATAACTATCGATACTGAGAAAATTAGTGGCATCCCGAAAACAACTCAACTTTAAAAAAAATCCCACACCATTAACAAAAAAGAAAAGCCAACAAATCTATTTGTATTTTCGAACGCAACAGCAGAAACCCCAACAACACGTGGCGAGTCAAAAACGTAGATCTTGCGAAATATTTCAAGTGGCGTATTTAGAATGGTGAGAATACATCCCGCATATAAAGTATGAGGAAAAATAAATAATATACTAGACGAGACAAAGTGGGAAGATTGACGTTTTTTTCACCAACGTACAAAGGGTTGCGAGACTTGCGAGTTTCACTATGTTATTGACTTGAATACCTAATTTCGCTTATGTCAAAGCTACGGTCCCGTTTGATGTTGGGTTACGCATGCCAGAGTCCAATGGAAGATGGGTGAACCACCGTCCTTTAAATCTTGAAACTCGTGTAACTGTGTCTGCGGGGGACTTCATTCTGCTGGTACACGATATTTTATGAAGATCCACCACTTTGCACTGAGCATTTAGCTTAATAATCTTTTCTCTAACTGTTTAACACACAATAAAATTTAATTCAGACTAAGTTAACTAGCGATTTATTCTTTATTCAATGCAAATTAGAGGTATTAAATGTATGTCATCATTAGCAGCCCTTTATAACTAATCTACTGCTTTTCTAAGGACTTCTTCTTCATCAGAAGTTTTTTGGTTTACCATCATATTCACACTTAGCAAACGGCTTTTAATTTAAAAGGTTTAGGTTTTATAACTAAAGGTCCAAGAGAGTTATTCATGTCCCTGTGACGCGCCGGACTTCAGTGTTCCGGTGTTTTCAAAGTTGTGTCTACTGTTGATCCTGGCTTACAGGAGCTGCAGCGGTTTTGGGAGGTTGTGGTGGGTAGGTACGTCCCAAAAAAACTAAAGGTAGAGTTACACTTACCGATCGCAGGGTTGCCGACGACAAATCCGACGTTTGCGAGAAAAGCGATGGTGACGAAGACGAGGAAAGCAGCGGTGATCTTGCCGGCCATTTTGATCTGGGAAAATATTGACATCATAATTATCTAGAGCCAATTATAAGTGTCAATATACTGGGTGTTCGTTTCCTACAAAGAAAACAAACATTAATATAGAAAGCACAGTTGAGCTTTCTAGACCAATGATTTACATAATAATTACGTATGTTCATCCATTCAATGTTGGTGATGAAAAAATCGATGAAAAAAGAAAGGAATGAAAATATCACGAATTTTAGGTATTAAAACCACTGATTCAGGTAATAGTGTTTAATTATACTTGCACAAAGGTAATGTTACCTACCCAGGTTTTATTGAAGTTGAATAAAAAATCACAAAAAAGATGTCTAACCTTCTAATTGTCCTTATTGTTTTGTTCTATTTTCATGAACATTTCGTTAGTCTATTAGTAGTTAATATTTCAAAGAGATCTTATTATTTTCTTAATTTGCTTTTTTCAGGTCACGACACAAAATGTGAAACAGAAACTACTTACGATTACGAATTAAGAAATACCTACTCGTAAATTCCACATTTCACACAAATACAAAATCCAAAAACAACACACACAAACTCACCTCATTCACAAATCACAAAAACCTTTAAGTTCGACATTTGGGACCATAATGGCACAACACTATCAAAGCTCATTTCATCGTGATAATGACAACGCAACGATAAACAAAATTATAACGATCGAAATTTATATTATATTTAACGGAAAATTCTGGCCAACGACCGCTTGTAAATGGAACTTGTTTAAATATGTAACTACTTAACTATGGTTGCAAGCGGGGTGGGGCGAGCGGTGCGCATAAGGGATATCCCAGGAAACGGATCTGCTCAGTACCTTTGCGAAAGACGAAAGTTCTAAGTAGGAAGTCGATGACTCTACGTTGATGTTAACGTGGATCAAGTACTTCAGACTTTTTAGTGTAATTTTTTGGTATTATTGCGTCATATTTTTTTTAGAATTAAAATTTTTAGAAAGTATTGTACAAGTTATTAAAGTTATCTAATGCTACGTCACTTATTTGGATTCAATGAGCTTTTGTTGTTCTAAATTTAGAATAATCCTAGTCATTCATAACACAACATTATGCTGTCAAAACTAATTACCTTAAAAAAATGGCATTTAGAATTAATTTAATCTGACTGTCTATTCGTAATTGATTTGTCGATTGCCTTGCAGATAATGCCAGATCCAACAAAACTTTCTATATTTAGAATCCAAATGTCTAGAACGATGACAGGTGATGAATTATATATACTTTATCTAATAAAAAATATCGATATGTCACGTAAATGCTAGAAACGTTTAAAAACTGGTTTATGAATTAACAACAAAGAACAATGGGACATTATGATCTCAAAGTATTAACATAAATATTTATTCAATCTAAACTGGTTGCAGAATGTGTGTATAATTTCTTCCGCATATATAAAAATGTGTTTAACACAATAAAAAGCCAATGAATTCTTATAGAAGAAACGGTGAAGGTCGACGAAAATCCGTGTATGGGATTTATGTAATACTTAAGTGGCCCAAGGTGCGATCTTCGATTGATAGCGAAACTATTGCTAGATTTATTTCAAGGAAAGTATGAATCATTGTTGCGTAAACTGAATGGTTACGTTTTCCTATTTGTACGAATGTCTACACGTTTACATTCACGATTTTTTCCGTGTACAATATAACGCAGGAAAAAATTACTCTTACGAATGTGCTTAAACAAATAATTTAAATTTATTTCACGATGAATTAAACAAAGAGTTTAATTTTAAACAAACATTTGAATATCTAGAATAATAACTCTGTATTTAAAAATATGTCTACTGTGACAAAACTATGCAGTATATTTTTAGTCGTGTCCATAATATGCTATCGCGACTGAACGTAGTTGCTTGCCTTCAGAGGTGGCCCGGGGCGCCAGAATGTTTGTACTCGGATGATACTTTTGGGGCTATTCTATAACTGTACGGTGGCTTGTTGAATTAATTCCGATTATTAATTCATGCGTGGTGGCGTGATAGATTATTTCTAACCGTTTGTGGGTAACTTAGCTTAGTTATGATTAAGTGAAAATTAATAATACTGTTTGTTGAGTTACTTTTAAGTTTAGAGGTAAAAAGGTGGACTAAAACCTTTGAAGTCTTAGGAAATTACATCGAGTTTTCATTAATAATGGAATAAGCTTAAAGACAAATCTCTAGAACGGAAAATAGCACGTTCTCTTTGAACGTATCAACTTTTTTTCGTCACACATGACGTTGCAGAATAAACCAACATTTTGGAACAAAAGCATTTTACTTCCGCGCCGACGAACAAAAGTCAAATGTAAATAACCTCTAGACACGGTTCGTGTACTAAGTAGCTGATAGGCACCGATTATATCGTTACCAGATTTACATAGCTCCTTAAATAAGGCGAGATTTAAACTTGTACTTAACTACGGAGCAATGGTATTAGTCTAGATGAAAATTACCTTTGAATCGGCATTGCGCCTTTAGGAAGCGGTTTTATTGTTAATACAACTTCCTAAAGTTAAAATTATAAATTCTCAATCCTGCCGGATACGAAATGTCATGATTGATGCTCTAATGTTCGAAACTTCTACAAAAAATATGTTTCCGCATATGAAATCATTACGAGACTTGAGATAATACTAGTCGCTTGTATGACGTCCAAAACGGGATTAGGGTTTGTTGCTTATGATAATTTTTAGCTCATTCTGTGATTACTGCCTAGTTTTGTTTTGTATTTTGTGTTTAGCATAAACGTGCAAAATATCCGCAATACAGATTGGGCGATGACGATATTGCTTTTAGTATAATTCCTTCCAAACGGAAAGCTTTTAAATTTAGTAAATCATTTGCGGTTTTTCCCCTTGCCGTTTATGTTACAGTTTGACAATATATGCACATTTTAGGATATAAGTTGTGATGATCGGTAACCTAGGAAGTTTTAATTTAATTAACCAAGATACGAAATGCACCTTCGATAAGCCATCGAAGCCCCAATTTCCCGAATGTTATGTTTCGGAGCTTATATATTTTTTTAATCTTTATTTATAAACATAGGGTTTTTTCCTAAAACGAATACATCAGCCCCCCATGATCGCATACAAAATTTAAACCTAATTACCTACTTACTGCAATAAAGTACAGTGCAAGGCTGGCTTATCTGTTTCTTAACATAAAAAGCTTATCAACAGTTCGTTGCAGGAACTTTGTTGCGAATAATAATTATTCGGTACAACAACTGAACAATAAGACACAAAATCGTATATATATAAGTATTGCACCCTTTTTTTAAGGGGGGAAAATCATCCAATGACTGCTCCCGCCTGGGTGAGGCGGGAGGCAGTGTCAGACTCTTACTGACTAAAAAGCACCCCGTTCCTTCTCCTGCACGTCGAACCTGGAGCCCCGGTTACCCGTTAGGTTCTCTGCGACAAGTATTGCACCCTTAGAACTCCCAATAATTATACCATAAAACATTTTACAAAAAAAACTATATAAAAAGACAAATTAGAAAAAATACAATAGATATACTCACTTGATAGGTGTACTGGAAGTGTTATCGAAGGAAAGAAGTAGAAAGTTGAATGTGTCGACTGATAGTATTACGGGTGCTTTTATACTGAAACTGTACCAGTGAACCTAATAAGGCATGTCGGATGCCTACAGGACACTTCCATTATCTATATGGATGTCATAATTAGATTTGGTTAATGCGTCCATATTGGAAGAAGTTTGGTTTGGTAGTTTAGTGGTTGTGAGGACAGGCTTGTAAGTTGGGTATAAGCATACTTTTTTGGTAATATTTTTTTTGAAATAGTAAAACAGAGTCCTCGGAAGGTTAGGCAGAGCGCCTTTAAATGGAACACCCCCTTTTCAGCAGTTAGGTTTAAGTTCTATGTAAGTAATATGGGGTGAGTTATTTCCGTATACCGGACACAATTCCAGACTCCGCACCATTAAGATTTTTTTTTGGAATAAGCCGGTAAACAAGCCCACGGATCAACTGATGGTAAGCAATCGGCGTCGCCCATGGACACCTAAAACAAAAGAGATGTTAGAAGTGTATTACCGGGCTATTCGGGATTAGGAATTTGAGCATGTTGGAGATTCGGGGATTGGGGAGATTGGGGACAAATTTCGGGAAATCTGGAAAGCCCTACTTTGTCAACCCAGATCTTTGAGATCCCATGCTTGGGTTACAGTTACTTGGCTAACGAAGCTGCCTTGCAATGTTATGGGGATATGCAAACGGAGATCGAAGTTGTACCACTAGCTGGAACAACCATTTATGCTATGACAGACGTCTTTAAATATTTTTAAACAGACTACAATTCTTTCCTAAACAAAATACAATATCACACAACAATAAAACAACTTTATCTTCTCAATTCCATATAAGTTTCTAAGTTGAACATTTGGCTGTCAGCCAAGTCACCTTCATGCTATAGTATCTTCAAACTGTTGGAAAATCGATCATCCTGTCTACAATTTTGTGGTTGCTTCCGAGCTCCATAATGCCCTATCATGAACCTCATCGGAAGTAAATTACAGTCTAAAAATACTTTGGCAAGTAAACAAATTTTTCAGTATAAAAAATAAGGGCGAAAGAATCTGAACCTGTCATTATCTGATGGATTCACTTTCCCATTTCGGTTAATTTCGGAAGGAACTAATTTACTTTTATTGGGTGCTTTAAAACTTAATTCAACTTCTTGTTTTCTGGGTTCATCGCTCAATAATGTAATGTTTTCGTTGAAGGTGGCCAGCGAATGTCACTTCTGTACATAGTATTTTTGTAACTCCTGTTTTTTCAGGCTTCGAAGACTACCTACAGTTTTAAGCAAGTTTCATAACAATTAAAATATGTCATTTATAGTAATTTATTAAGCTTATAGTGACTCAAGTCTAAGACCTACCGTAAAATGGGGTGAATAGGGATCGAGAAGTGAATAGGGACTGAAGAGGGGTGAATAGATATAAGGAAATTCTTCATAGTATCGATTCACCCCTCTTCTGTCCCTTTTCGCTGCTCAAATCCTACTCACCCCATTTTACCGTAATGTTTCGGCACGAATGGGCCAGCTCGACCGGAGTGATACCAGGGCGTCACAGAAAACCGACGTGAAACAACGCTTGTGTTGTATGTCGTCGCGTGAGTGATATTACCGGAGGCTCAATTACACCCTCCCCAATCCCCGAATCCCCAACAATCTTCAATTCCTAATCCCTTAAAGGTCAGTAACGCACTTGTACCGCCTCTGGTGATTCATGTGTCCATGGGCGGCGCCGATTGCTTACCATCAGGTGATCCGTCTGCTCATTTACCGACCTGTTTTATGTCCCCCAAAAAAGTGACTTCCGACTTCAAGAAGTTGTCGACAAAATTTTTATTTACATTTGAAATATAATCGTAATTAAGGGTTTCATAAGTAAAACGAAATCAAAGAAATCAGTTTAAAATCTTTATTTCGAATCAACAACAGAAAAGTTATCTAAAGTTAAATCGTATCCATAAAATTACATCGTAAATTAAATTCAACCGTAAATTCGTACTAAATACTCCTATTTAGTTTACAAGGTAAATAGCTAGAAAACAAATGATTTAAACATTATTATATTAATTCCCGATAAAAGCTTGACCCAAACAAATATGAACATTATAGATTTTCGGGAAGTTTAAATTGAACAATCATTTCGTAATATTTATAAACCTCAGCCATTAATCAAACACGCTGTATTTATTGATTTCAAGTCAAAATACATTTTATTGAAAGACCTATTTATAGAAACAATACAAAATGCAAAAATAATTCATAGTTTATAAAACACGCTTTTAATCTTTATGATGACGACATTAAAAGAAATGGATATACCCAAACTCAATGTGTTTTACTAAAGTTTCAAAAAGCCACTTTCCAATGGAGGCTATCGTATTTTTGGTCACCAAGAGGTGCAAATGTAGGAAGACATTTTTTGTCCAATCACAGCAGTTGTTAAATATTAAACATCCTATGACGTAACACTAGCTAATTCCCTATTGGACGAAGAACGAGAGGTTCACATTAACGCCAGTTGATGAACAAAAATACGGTAGGTCTCTTTCCATCATCAGACGACCTCAATGGTACCATATATTGGGGGGTAATCTAATCTACCATCTAATAATTGCTAAGTTTCAAGATGATACAATAATTAGAAATGTGTGTCATTTGGTTGTATTACATAATTATGTGCAATATAGGTCTGGCCAGTCACATCAGGGCACAAGACAGGAGATAGCTGTAAGGAGGACTATATATAAATACATACATGAGGTTCGATATAGGACCTAATAAAAGCGTGTTAGGTATTACTAAACTTAGAATTTTTATTTAACCTTCCCAATTTTGTTAAATTTTTATGCTTTTTAAGACATTTAACCTTCAACCTTCGGTACTTCATCAGCCATGCTTGCAAGAATCAAATTCTTGCTTAGGCCCGTTGGTCGTTTTGGTTCTAACGCTGCTCTCATCTCCAGAGCTCGAGTGTCAGTGTCCAAAGACTGATTTTTGTCATTCAAATCAATTCCTATTTTGATGGAAGCCGCTTCCAAGGCATTGTAGGTTGCTCTAGTAGAATAAAAAAATAGAAGTTAATATTAATATTTTGAAATATTTGGATTGCAGTGCTGACTAAGAAGTGAGCAACAATTTTAAACAGCTATCATATTCTTCTGATAGTATTAGTTGATCTTGACTTCTGGACTTTCTAGATTTATCGAAGGTAGCAGATACATAGGGGTGTTAGGTAGAAGACTTGTGAACGCCAAATGAACCAAATGAGCTTTCACAAGCTAAGGAAATTCATATCATACTTACTTAGCACAGTCCAGTTTATCTTGCAGTTGACGAATAGTCTCTCTCAGAGATCTAACTTCTTCCTTCAACCCTATATCAGCCTCGTCAGCAGCCAGTTCGATTCCCGGACGGTAACCACGAGTCTCCAAGCGTGTTTCAGCTACTTTCAAAGCGTTCACTTTATCAGCAAACTGTTCTCCCATTATTTTTAGTTCAGTCGCTAGTTTGTCCATGTTTTCTTCCATCTGGGGAAAATGATGGGATTTGGAAAGGGACTTGATTAATTTATATCTAGGCATAGTATCAAGTGCTCTGTTTTCAAAAAATGTTTTAATGTGCCTCAAAAATTAAACAGAGGGATTCCTTTAAAAACTTGTTTGACGACATTCTAATGAGAACTCTGATCAAGTTTAATCGTGTCCTGCTACGTCATAAAGTCTATAATATCAGTTTATTAACGGATTTCAAAAAGAAAAATAAAAGAGGTTCTCAAGTTGAACTGTATGTATGTTCATGACTGTGCGCGATTATCTCGCGATTGGCTGAACCGATTTTAATATGGTTTTCAGAAAAGTTTTTGTTACACTTAGGAGAAGGTTTAGTATATTCATTGACCGACTTTATAAACAGAAGTCGGTTATTTTGAACGTAGTTTATAACAGAATTTTTCTGTTTTATTTAACCTAGTTGTCAAAACAAAAAAAGAAAGCCAATTTCGATATTCTTCAGAAAAATAAAATCTAAAGGATTCTAATTATAGAGGTATTTACAGGTTTTATTATTATCTATTCTATTTCTACCATCACCTCGTGTACTGCTTAAGAAATTTCTTTCTTCTAGTCTTATTTACCAAATGCCCGTAATGTCACACGTAACGTGATTGAGAAACTTTTACTTATTTTCTGTTGTTCTGACCTAACTGTATATGAATAAAGTTTGTTTGTCGGCTGTGTGGTGTCTATATTGGTCATTGTTGGTAAATTAGGACACTGAAATCGATGTTTGTAGTTCAATGATAATAATTTTCAAAGTTAAAGTCAAAATCATTTATTTCAATTACACCAGAACGGCACTTTTGAACGTCAACATAAAAATTAAAAGTGAGGCTATTTGCTCATTCCAAGGTGTAGATTCCTATGGAGAAAACGAGCAAGAAACTCCATAGGCTACTATTTTTCAATCAGGTTCACAATAAATAATGTTTCTCTTTCTTTCTGTTTGTTGGTTATTTTTAAACCGTTGCCCTGCACTACGATTTTCTCCTGTATCGTGGGTGTGTTTACAAGCATAAAAATTCATATTCACGTTACACCCAGACCCGGAACAACAATCTGTGGATCACACAGAGTTGTTCCGTGCGGGATTCGAACCCGCGAAGCGTTGCACGGCAGTCAGTTACCCAGACCACGTGAGACGGTACTTCACGCCGTAACAATTGCTGAGTTTGTACCAAGCACAGGTTCAGTCCTGTATGGAGTACTATTCTTATCTTTGGGACTGATTGATCACGATAGTCCTTAATTTTATCAATGGTTTTGCATTTTGCAGATCATATTTCAGGAAAGTCCTCATCCTCATTGAATCGAAATCCTTACTAATATTATAAATCGGAAAGTGAGTTTGTTTGTTTGTTTGTTTGTTCCGATTTCACGCCGTAACTACTAAACCGATTGCTTTGATTTTTTGCAGACGTAAAGTTAGAAATCTGGATTAAATAATGGGTACTTTTTATCCCGGAAAAATTTAATATTCCCGAGGGAAAACAAAAGTATTGGTATAGATGGCGCTGTATGTATTGGTATATGTCACATAGGCTACTTTTTATCCTTTTTTGACGCGAGCGAAGCCGCGGGCGGCTAGTTGAAAATATGTGCACCATTTAGACAAGAACCGAGACAGACACCAATATCTCTTCAATTCAAACATTAAATGCTTTAAAATACCAGCTTTCAAATTATAAATACTCAGAATCGCGCTAATTACTCCATGTTGAGGATATTTCGTGGTTTGTTACTAATCAAAGTCAATTCCTATCTTTATCGAGGCACAGAACTAGCCAATTACTCGATTCAACATTTTACTCGTGTGCCGTACTTGTATTGAGTAATGGCTCTTCAATCATTGACATATTATTACCATTAACAGTTCAATCAGAATACTGAAATGGTTGTACATACCAAATACATTCGTTCCTAGAACTGCTGTTTACAATTTCCATTTACCTATAGTCCCATTGAAATTTATAAATTGCAAATACAGAGAACACGATACAAGAGCGAATTAAAATTTCATTTTAACTTGATTATTAAATTGATTCCACGGTTGGTGCGATGGCTGGGCAACCGGCTGCCGTGCAACGTGCCACGAGTCCGATTCCCGCACAGAACAACACTTTGTGTGATCCACAAATTGTTGTTTTGGGTCTGGGTGTCATGTGTATGTTTGTAAACGCACCCACGACACAGGAGAAAATCCAAATGTGGGTAGGTGCAATGTTTTATTAAAAAAAACATCGATTCTGCCGTTTGAGAGCTACAGAGTTATAGACATACCTACACGTGCACAGCTGCGTCGATTTTATAATAACACTAGCTTTTACCCGCGGCTTTGTTCGCGTCACAAAAGGATAAAAAATAGACTATGTGACATATACACACAGCGCCATCTATACCAATACTTTTGTTTTCCCTCAGGAATTTCACATCTTTCCGGGATAAAAAGTACTTTACGTCTATAAAAATTCAAAGCAATCGATTTAGTAGTTACGGCGTGAAAGCGGAACAAACAAACAAACAAACTCACTTTCCGATTTATAATATTAGTAAGGATAAGGATTTTCTTTTAGCGTGAGGGAGTTTCTACAATTCTAAATGTTCGCACATCAATGTCACATACCTTCATCTTCTGCCAATCCAGTTCATTCCTGGCTCTCTGAGTATCATAGATGCGTCTCCGCAGCATATAGTTGGTGACGTCAGTTTGGGCTCTCAAAGCGTTCCTGGCTCGGCCCCGGGCGACGAACAGAGACTCACGAAGACGCAGAGTATCTTGAAGCTCAAGTATTGCCATCTGTTTCATTGCTTCGCACTTGTCCTGCCATTGCTGGTTGGTAATCATTCTGGGAGAGATGAACCAAAAGATATTATTTAGGTAATTTAAAAAAAGAATTTGAAAAAGGTCTTTAATACTTTAACTGCCAAGTTTAAAATGTTGAAAGTCAAACCTCCACTAGCGTCAGGCACCGGTGACTGACGTGGCGCTCTAAGGGTTAATCAAAAGGAGTACGTATATCTTGTGTTTTGGTAACTTTGTTTATTCATAATGTCATAACACCCATTTTTTATCTCCGAAGGGATAGGCAGAGGTGCACATTACGACACTTACTTAATACCACTGTACAATGTAACACCCACTTTTCACTATTAATGTTATGAGTCCCATGTCCCATTGCCATATACCGAGCACAATTCCAGGATACGTGGTACTACTGAGATTTATTTAAAACCCAGTAATACTTTGCCCGACCCGGGAATCGCACCCGAGACCCCTTGCCCAGTTGCACTTGCGACCATTCGGCCAACGAGGCAGTCATTGATAATATAACTTGTAAATTTTGTAGGTACGCTACATCTAAGAAAGTGACTTTCTATCTGTTTACCTTTTAGACGAATTATAAAACCCTTCTAAATATAGTAGCATAATAGAGTAGTAGATAGTATGTATGTACCTATGTTCGTTTAATGTTCGAAATATATCTTTCCATTGGTACAAATTGGCAGTTAACCCCGCCAATAAATTTACTAAAGATCAACAATTGAGAAACAAATCCGTATTGCCTACAAATTCCCTGGAGTAAGATAAAACAGGAATTCTACCTATAAAAGCTACAAAAGAAGAAAATCAAGCAAAGCGCTATTAAATAAATAATTGCGGTAAAAGGTGTTGATTACGGTCCATTACGGCAATTAATCTGTCCCAATTACCGGCATTATCAATAGATTCGGAATGCTTCCTTTCATTTGGTACTTATTGTCAAATACTACGAGTGCCTATCTAAATTGGAATTCGTCAAGGCGTTTTATTATTGAAATTCCTTTTGAGCTAAAATAATTTTGGAAGTAAGAAACTTAATAAGCGTTATGAGTCCCTATCAATGTAGATTCAAATACCTTCTTTAAAAATGTTCCAATAACTTAAAACTTTTGTTCCATGTTTTTTTTTAAAGGGGGAAAATCATCGGATGACTACTCCCGCCTGGGTGAGGCGGGAGAAGGTGTCAGACTCTTACTGACTAAAAACCACCCCGTTCCTTCTCCTGCACGTCGAGCCGGAGCCCCGGTTACCCGTTAGGTTCTCCGTTAGGTCTGATGGCTCTTTAAGGCGCGCGCGGAACGCTCGGGTCTGTTTCTGGTCGGACGGGGAGCCACCCATGATGCATGCATCCCGCGTTTGTTCCAGGATAGAGCGAGTAACTCGTGCATGAGGCTCACTTTTCAACTTTAAGTAAACAGTACAAGTGTCATTATCTTTAATTGGAATTTTAATTGGAATACACGGTGGAATTTTGTAAGGAGAAAGTACTCTTAATGCTTAAAATAGAAAATTTTACTCGATGCAATAAATGTACCTACAGTAAGTTAGGTAATTAAAAAATATTAGACACGTGTTTTTTATTTTGTCGTTTAATAAAACAATACCTACTTAGATAAAATGAATCAAAGTTTAGGAGTGGGGGCTTAAACGTCATTTCTACGTATAAAATGTACATAGAAGTGACGCCTAGCGACATTTCAAATCAATATATCGTCAAAAGTATTCGTTTGTGTAAGAAGATAAAAAATACGTGTCTAATGATTTAAAATAATCTACCAGACGGACATTAAAATAAAAATTAGGCATCTATCCTATTAACGTATAAAACCGCTGAATAAAATTCTAAGTTTTAAAACCCTACAATACATCTAAAACACTAACTCTCGAATACTGAAAGACTCAAAGTTAAGTTGTAGATACATACTTAAATATCGTGCCATCTCTTTCATTTTACAAAGAATTTGTAGAGACAGAGCTATACCTACTTAAGCGCGACCTAAAATTGAGTAGCGTTTGACTATTCCGACATAAAACGTTTAAATTCTAATTTTCAAAACTCATACATGCATTACAACTTTGCAAGCATCAAACTTTGTCTATAGTATATTCTACTTTTCCATATTTTCACTATCAAGAAAACCTCTCTAACATTTTTCTAAAACACTTATTTCAAAGTATACAAGGCCCAAGAAACTGCTCATATCATGTCTTATTAATGAGAAGTAGAACATCGTGGGAACCTTTTAACGGGGGACCAGGTGTAACACCGTACAGGGAGGTATCATAACTTAGAACAAATTTAATTGTTTAGAAGTACCAAGTTTAAAGTTTTTGCGTCGTGGGCAGGTCCTCAAGGATGTCTTGTAATTTAGTTTTAGTTTGTCGTTAGTATGTTTTTTAATAAAATAATGTTATTGTTGTTAGGAGGCTGGAGTTGTTCGTTATGAGTTCGTTAGTGAGAAGTTTGTAATAAACACCGTCTGTTCCTGGTAGACTTGAATCTTTATCAATTGTGTCATTTATAAATTAAACTTCACTCAAAGTCACTATAACAACGATCACACGACTCCGCTATTACAAAGTCAAAGTCAAAGCATTTATTTCAATTAAACCATAATTTGGTACTTTTGAAACGTCAACAAATACAAAATAAATAATAGTCTGTCAGTCAGTCCGTCAGTGAAGCTAGGTGAAGCTAGGTGAAGCTAGGTGCTCATTCCTAAATGTAGATTCGAATGGAGAAGGACCAGCAAGAAACTCCGTTCGTTACTCTTTTTAAAAAAGTATGTTCCACAATGTCTCTGATACATATTCCAATACTACACATATATACGATACATTTCTCAAATTCAACTGCAATTTTACAACATTGAATTCAATCAGAGAAAAATGTCAAAATAAAATTACCTCTTCGGAGTCTTCAAAGAGTCAGTCTTGTAAGTGATATTGGCGCAGTCCTTGTCCAAATTGAGCATATCCTTATCAATCTGAAGAGCTTCGTTCTTATCATTCAAATCTAATTGGAGTTTGAATTTAACAACTTCCAACTTGTTGATCTTTTCCCAAGCGGACTGGCATCTGTCTATCAACATTTTTTTGTTGCTTTCTGTTACACAGAGTTCCTAAAATTATGTTAATGTTATTATTTGTAATGTCCAAAGCTAAATGTGATCACATACTAAGATTTTCTCCTGTATCGTGAGTACATTTGCAACCATACAAACTGCGTATCCCCGAAACAACAATTTATGGTACACGAAGAATTATTCCACGCAAAAATCTAACCCACGGCACTTTGCAGCCGGATACTGAAACACACTGCAGCAATAAGGTACTTATAATATGGAAATGTCAGCCTAAATCCTGTGTGTCCAGTTGGACAGTATGTATTCTAACTAGTTAAGCCAAGCACACAGCTGTGAGCTAATTGGGGTGACAAGTGGACTAGACAATCAGCAAATAGTTACCTATTGTATTTTATCCTTAGTAAATAGCAATTAGTGTAACGAAACTCTTTCGTTGACAGAGGGAACCGGTTTTGACTCTTTAATTGAAGAATAGAAGTACAAAAGGCTTTGGTTATTGTTTGAAATAATGCAAATATACTCCAATAATAAGCAGGCATACATAATTAAAACACCTTTTAAAAATGATGACGAAATGTACAGAGCATTATAGACTCTCCTTTGACTACTGTTCTATAAGGGATAGCAGAAGCGATACTATGTACATTATATTGTATCAATTATATGCATGGGCAATTCACTTCTTAACACGTTAACCGCCGCCTAGATCATGGGTGACCTATGTTAGCGGAAGATTTACCTTTTTTTTGTTTTAAAAAAAAACGTTGTCCCACACTAGGATTTTCTCCTGTGTCGTGGGTGCATTTACAAACATACAAGTTCACACACAATGACACCCAGACCCGAAACAACAATTTGTGGATTACACAAATTGTTGTTCCGTGCGGGAATCGAACCCGCGACACGTTGCACGGCAGCCGGTTGCCCAGCCACCACACCAACCGTGCAGTCAACCTTTAAAAGTTTTTTGTCGGTAGTCATAGACTTAATACTCTCTTCTCGGTCTATTAAGAGCGTACCTCATGGTAGAGCAGTCGTTATCACAATATCAATCATCCTGTTCAAGTATTGCTCTTAGAATAGGTAGGGAAGACGGAAACTACAAAAATACACAAATATTTCCCAATTTCCTTCTAAAAAATACTTCTTACCTTTTTCAACTCAGTATCAGCAAGGTCATAAGTAAGTTCCGTGCTTCGTCTCCCGTCTCGGTTAGACAGACATTCAGAGCAAACCAGTAAAGGGAGATTCAGTTGTTCTAACTCCCGCTCAGTAGAAGCTTTCTCTTCTTTTAGACTGGACATCTCTCTGTCTATGAGATCTAGGAGTTCCTGTATAGTCGACTTCCATTGTTCTATTTCGTATACTCTGAAAGAAATTAAACAAGAATATTAAGAGCTATTTAAAACACTAGTTTGTGGATCTCACTTTGAGAATCAATTCGGGAAATAATTCATTAAGTTGCTAAATATGATGGGTATTTTGCACTACAGAAGTATTAATTCCAGGGTACTTGCTCTTGAAACCAATTTCAATGGCAATGCAATTTCAAACCAATAAAATCTCAAAAACTATACAACCCCTATCGTCGCTGTTAAAATAGCATTCAGAGTACGGAATAGAGGTATTAAACCACACTCAATACCATTTAGTTCATTAAATATCCACGCAATACGGATGCAATAGGCGCTAGTGTTGCCACTCAAAAGTACGAAATTTCACAATACCAATGTCGATCGATCGGAATTGAATTTAAGAGTAAGCCCTCAGAAGTGTATTTCAATTATCTTACTTTCTTACTAAAAGATTAAGGTAAAACAAATATACAGAAATTACCACCGTATCACACAAACCACATTCAGAATTAAATCATCTAAAACTTTCAAAGATAACACAGATCTACCACACACCATAAAACAAGTAAACCGTGCGTCTTCAATCAAAATACTTCAAAGGTTGTTTCACACACAGACATATAGACATTCAATTATCCTCACCTGGCTCTAAGTCTATTATTGTTGTGATAGCTGTCCCATTCGGTCTTGATACGGGTCTCATTGCGAAGCTGGTGGGCTCCATGTCGCAGGTCGAATGCGTCAGCCCGCCTGGTATCGGCTAGAACCTGATGTTTGAATTGGATTTATTGATAGGTAAGTATAGAGGTGTATTATTGGTATATAATAAATGTATGTGTATATGAATTTATTCATATGGATTAATTTTGTGTCACCTAAATTTAGTTTCAATTTTCAATTAGGTATTGTATATTACACCTATTTTTGCACATCTCTGCATCACCCCATAGTTGAATGTTAGAGAGTTTGCCATCGTAAGTTACATGTTTAGCAGTGTAATTAAAAAAAAAATGTAAGTGTGCAATTTTTTTCACGGCAAAATCGAGCGACATTTTGACGAAATTTTTTTATGTGGAGATAGGTGAAGAGATGGACCGTGATATGTCACTCTCTATCTCTTCATATGGCTATAAAACATCACATTACAATCAATAGAAGTTGAACAGCGGGTGAAACCGCGGGAGTAGCTAGTGAATAGTACATTTGGACTGTTTGGAACCTTTCTATAAATTCCTATAAACATAAAACACCATCTGAAATTAAATTACAAAACAGAATTTATCAAACAAAACGAGGTATTTTCCAATAGATTTCAACATACTGGTTTGAATGAATTTTAATCAAAACAATGTTTTATTTTAAATAGAAGTTTATTGAATAGAATTACCTAGTTTTTATTGTGACATTTGAAACGAATAAAGTAACTAAATTAAGCGATATCGTCGACGTACCTTAATACCAATCGACTTAACATACATTAATACCAACCGTAATATCTATCTGAACATTTCACAAAATTAACGTTACAAATTTTTTTTTAATGAAATAACTCAAATAATAAATTTGAGTTTTTTAACAGGGACAGGCGCTATTACTATGCACCTGTTACATCGTTTTCCATACACAATTAGGGCAAATTCCATGTAGACTCTACTACCTAATTATTAAAAAAATATTAAGAAAGTCTGACTTCCTCAATGACTCTCTTCACCTACAACTCAATAAACAACGGATTAATTTGCAAAGAAGCTAAACAAAGAATAAAAACACAACCTTATCGAAGACTAAACAATATTTTAAGAACAAAAGCCTACATGATTCGAAAATTCACTGTAAAGTAACGATCGCAAATAATAAATGTGTAGTCTGCGTGCCCCATCATATAAAGCCGTCACAACCATGTTGCTTCGACCGAAACTTTGACAGAGGGAAATTGTGGAACTAAGGATGACATGGACAAGCAATCGGTCATCAACAGCCAACCCTCACACTCATTTCCTGGTAAAAAGCATGGTTGGACGGCCATGACACAGCTAAAACTAATATGTAGCGCCTGGCCAAGTTTTTATAGCAACGTTTTGCGTTCATGTGTAATGTTGCGGTTGGGATTTGTAAAGGACTGGAAAGGTTTTGATTTTATTTCTATAAAGGTGTTTAATATATTATAAGACAAAACATTTAAACCAATTCCAACTGTTAATTACGAAAACTAGATATGTTTACTATAACTAACTTTTAAGTGGTTATCTATAAATGGTATAATTTATAGATGTCTACAAATTTCCTAACTACTTTATGTAAGTAGGTGTAAACTACCTATATTTCAAATTAAGTACCTTTCTACGTATGCTTTCTCTAAAGTCTTTTTTTTATACTGACAGACATTCATGGTAATTTTAATAGTAGCTACGCATTTATCAACAAAAGAATTATTCAATTCAATGTTCGCACGTGCTAGGAGACTATAAGTAGATTAACCCGTGTCCAATTAATAGGTAAAACGTAATCGTTGTATTTTTAGATGATGATTAATTATTCCTCTGTTGTTCGTACCTGTAGACCGTAAAGCCTCGCATCCCAGTCGGCCAAACTAAGATGCGGCAATGGCTTCTCAAACGTCACCACCGACTGCATTTTTATTCAGTTTACTTTTAAAATTAAAACATTCAGATGAAAAAAGATTAAATTACAATTAAAGTTTGTTAAAAAAATAAATTCGTCAGTCAATTTTACATTAGCACCTTACAAATATGGCTGCGTCAGTATAAAATGTCGTGCGTATTCGAATTTTAAAACAAACACGAGAATTTATTTCCGACCAGTAATGATATGGTAAAAAGTTTTCTATTATGAAGTATTAAATACTTCTTAAAGATACTTATATTATAAGGAATCTTGGGGAATCATATGTGACTTATCTATAATTATTCGTGGTTCTATATGTTTAGGTTTAGACCGCGGATCGAAATACTTTTTATTAAGTTCTACGTCAATAGTGAACTGTTAACAGTTTAATATTTATTTATTTAAAATCGTACATTACATACCATGAGACTAACTATTTAACCAAACATGTCACACCATATTAAATACTTGAGCGGATTTGACTGATATTTCCCATGCAAACACACCATGTACAATGCTATTTGTGTTTGTAACGCGGGTACAGCCACAGGCGTAACACTAGTTTATCACTCATAAACTCATAACAATATGAATATGTCTGTAACCAAGACTTATTACTTTATGACTTATGAACCCGTTATTTAGTTATGTGTGTCAATTCACTTTGTTGAGCGTTTGTTTAATTCATTTACTGAGATACGCGGTTTATTACGCACTGGGTTGATTGACGGCTGCGTTTCGTTGGCAGCGTTTATTTAGGTCTGCTATGAATTCATGGAACAAAAAATATGTTAAACATTAACAAAATAACAACAGTTCATCTCAGACAACTGCTCATTTATGCTATGATGTCTACGCTTTGTACGCGGCTTAGAGATAGCAGTTACAAAACTGCATCTTTATAAGATAGCGCTGCTGCAAGGTCTCTGTCAAAGGATGTGTTCTCTTTGTTGGTTCTTGTAGTGTGGATAAATATTGTTAAGAATTATTTACAAAAATTATTCGATAGGTAATTTTGTGCAACTGTGGAATGGAAACCAAGAACCAAGACTGTTAAGTTTCGTCTTGAGACCGCTTGAGTCAATTCATAATTACTTACTTAACAATGTACAGTTGCAAATCAAAATTACCGATTATTTTTGCTCGACAAATATATAGGTTAAAGCAGCGAAGACAATGGTTGATTGAAGCAGTGGTTGATATTGCGAAATAGGTAACGTCTAAAAGTCACTTATTTACTAACTTTGAAGTGGCTTTAAGGGTAAGGACTCACGGTGCGATTTTCTCCCGTGCCCGCCACGGTGGCGAAATGAAATGAATTTTCAAAACTAATGACACCGCGGTATTCGGCCGTCCCATTGCGATTCGATCGCCTGACATCGACAACATGATTTGTTTGAGACAAATTAACAGTCTATAAACGCAGCAGTAAAAGCATCTAGTGCGTTACTTGCGTGTAATATACCAGTCTCCACAATATAGCTGGCATCCTTTTTGATTATTAATGTTCAGAGTCTACTTTCTCTAAGTTTAGTTTATTGAGTGGCGGTTACAACCCCGTTATTTGCTCGTGCGACTCATTTTATTGTTGTTTTAGTTTCATTTTGTGTGTTGGATAAGTTTCTATACCAAGTATCTGCTATATTATGATCGCTTGTCTAGAGAAAAGCATGTGCGACTTCTTGAATCGTAAGGATACCCGTAAGGGTAGGTAGAGGTGTACACAGAAGTAACACCCACTTTTCACTATTTATGTTATGAGTCCCATGTAATAGGGGGTGAGCCTATTGCCATATACCGGGCACATTTCCAGACTCCGTGCTACCACTGAGATTTTATAAAAACCCATTAATAATTTGCCCGACCCGGGAATCAAACCCGAGACCCCTTGCCCGGAAGTCGCACTTGCGACCACTCGGCCAACGAGGCAGTCTATAGGTCTATCTACATTTATTTTTCAATCTTGTATATCCTTTCACCCATCAAAAATGTAACTTCAATACCAGTACTAATCGACACAAATATAAATAATTATATCAACTGTCGAACCAATGGAAATGTATTCCAGTTACGAACTGACCAATCGGGACTCAACAAAAGCGATTTTCAAACAGCTATTTGCACGTTCCAAGTTAATCAATGGCTGATTTCGAACTTTCGCAATGAAGCCTTTAAAGGGAGAGGAAATTGGTTTAGAAAATAAAATTGGACCTTATATACTAACTTTTTAATGTGATAAAAAATGAAATTCGGTTCGCCGTGCCCCTAATCAAGGTGGATTGTTTTGGTACCTGTTTTTATGAAGGTAAGATTGCGATGGTATATTTGATGTTTTTATGTGCATTTATACATAACGCTCATAAAATAAAAACTACTGGACTGAAATGAAACAATTTTAAGGGGACCAATTACTTCGTATGGCGCAAAAAAGGAACACGTATAATGTGAATGTTCTGAAACGGCTTTTGACAAAAGTATCGAATCGCCGTCATCATTTCCAAAGTCCTTCCATACACCATCAATTGGGATGATGATGGGGTATGAAAATACAAAACGTAATTAGTCCGTCAGTTAGGTAATGAAATAATATTAGATAGGTACGTATTTTTTTTATTTTGTTAGGTGAACCTCTCCCGCTAGGTGGACCGACGACATCGCCAGAGCTGCAGGGAGCCAGTGGATGCAGGTGGCAAGTTGTCGTTCGACGTGGAGAACTGAGGGGGAGGCCTTTGTCCAGCAGTGAACGTCTTTCGGCTGTTGATCTTGATGATAATGATGATAATGATGACGATGATAAGATACTGGAATCTGGGATAAAAACTTCGTACTTGCACATCTATTAGTTACTTATCCAATATAATATATTTGAATAATCATAAATACCTATGTGTAATTTCGGAGTACCTACTTACGTAACTATCAGTATGTACTGAGAAGCACATAGGCTAAATGCACACGGACAAAATATCCGGTAAAAACTAGTTTAAGCATCTTTATTATCTACATGAGTATAACCATCCTTAACACGATTCGTAAAAAGAAAACAAGGAAGCAATCACCACTCGCTTCAAACAACAGTTACAACAAAATAAACGATAAAACTTGTTAATTTATCTCAAAAACAAACAGTTAAAGTTAACTGCATACAAGTTAAGTTTGTTTCTTATCTTCAAAAACAAAGATAAACTCACCACCAATGGTTCGGACGCTGGAATAACAGTTAACCGTGTTTTCTGTCGATACGGTCACGAGTGTTATCACTTGGGCCTTGGGGTATTAATAGTACCAGCGTATAGAATAACGTCTCTTTTAGTTCATATTCTAGAACAAAGGGTCAACTTTGAAATGCTAATTAATTATTTATTTTAATATGGCCTATATAGTTTTATTTTGCTCTGTCATCGGATCACCCATTATTTCGAGGAAAATGCCAACAAGAATTGTACATTTATATATGTAATTGCATACTGTGCACGCAGAGCAGATGTATTATTTACTAAAGTATCTTCTTTTTCTTCTTCAACATTTAAATAAACCATTCAACCAACATTCAAGAACAGAGTTTACTTATCTGCTCCTTTTTAAAATACTGGCAAGGACTATTTATAAGTAGCTCTTTTGCTACTGCGCCCATCACTTATCAAGTCTCTATCAATTTGTTTGTCACATTCTAAAAAAAAAATATTCGTACTAATAATGACACCTCGTCCCATCAACTCGTCTAATTAATACTCAAAGGCCCACACGCTTTTCCCCTTTGTGGAAACTTTGCGGCCGGCTACTCATAGCTGAAACGCCTTCAGCATCGTGCGTAACTATAAATTTCCTCGGCAACTCCTCGCTGACGCGTTCTGGCGTCTTGCCAACAGTTATATTACATGTAGACGAAGCTTAACTATTAATATTGATCGGGCGTTGGCTTTGTTTCGAGGTTGCATCGGCCTTTTTGGCTTTTGGCTTTAGGTTTTCGGGTCTGCCTATCGTATTGAGGATTACATCCTTTAGGTAGGATTTATAAGGAATTGTTTGGTTTGTACAATATTATTTTAAACCCAGAGCAACTAGATTTCGGTTCTGTTCTCGAACTCAGAAATAAAGATTCTGAATGAGCTCTCTAAGTCTGGAAATCTAGAATTCATTTTAGGGAACAGAGAGTAATAGTTCCCTAATATCGGAAAAGGAGGATCCTCCGACCAAGCGAGGTGATCGTGCCTGGCGGGCTTTCTGCCCTACACTTGTTTGTTGGGATTTTCTATCCGTGTTAATTTGCATGTAAACTTCGCATGTGCGATGTAGGATTTTATGACGTCATCCGTTGACTTGTGACATGTGTCGCCACATTCATCAACAAACAACAATAGGACTAAACACTAGATTAAATAGGTAGTAATAAATCTTCAAATACAAATCTTCGTGTCCTTTCGGGGAACACCAACTATAATTTTATGTCGTCCAATCTAAATTCGATTATGTTTGACCAGGGTGACGACAGCTTGTCCTAAAATTTTGACACTGATCAAAACTCCTTTCAAATTCCAAACACGGCTACTCAACAGTTTGGAATCAAAGGGCTCTTCCATTAGAGGCATGAAAAGCACAAATTGTACAGGTTCACTCAAAACTATTCGCTCCATGAATAATTGAATAGAATTCAATTTTGTATAAATTCAATTAAGAACTAAATATAGAATTATTCCATATTGCTGTATTTATATATTTTATGTTTCTATGTACGTATTAAAATTAATAAATTTAATTAGTTATGTACACAAAATAAATGGTGAATACCCAATACATGAAAATATGGACCTGTTATAATTTATTTACAGTAACAGTGACATCACAAGCGTGATATAAAGTATCCTTTTGTAATGACAATACAAGAAGTCTGGAACTGCAAGTCGTTGATGACCTCATCTTACTAACAATGCGGTGAAGGGATTAACAACACCATATACTTATTTTACATTTGATGGGCCGACGTTTGACCATTACCTCGCCTGGTGGTA